TTTAATAAGAAACTTAAAACAATACGTCTCTAACAAAGTGGTCTGGACCTGCTACCATAGTCTGATTGCAACGCACATGTCATATGCGATTACAGCTTGGGGTTTTTCTAGTAATGCCAAATTACTCTTCAAACTTCAACGAAGGATTATTAGAATTATCACTGGCCTCGGGTATACAGAAAACGTACGGCAGAAGTTTATTGAACATAACTTATTGACACTTCCGTGTATTTACATCTACCATGCACTAATACAAGTTAAAACCGACATCGATGCCTATATAACTCAAGAAGAGACACATAACCACAATACCCGTAATAAATATTTATTAAATTTAAAACGTTTACGTCTAAACAAGAGTCGAAACACCATGAACTACTACGGACCTAAAATGTATAATCACCTCTCTCTGTGTCTCAGAATTGCACCTTTGAATGAATTCAAGAAAAAACTCAAACCATGATTAGCAAAGCGTTTTACTCAATTGAAGAATTCATGTCTTTCAATCATTTTAATATGTAATTGTAAGTGTGTTTTTAAATGTTTTTGTTTTGACAAGTGTAAAATACTACCTGTATTACAAACACGAAATACATATTATTATTATTATTATTATTATATAGAAGAGGATTATTTTTAAAGAATTTTTTATAATGATGCAATAAAGTTAGAAAAATATATTTAGCTGGCGGTAGGTACTTAGTCAAATGTTGATGAGGAAGAAGATGGCCGTGGGTATTTGTTTATCATGTAGGAGATACGAGTATAAGTAATTATAACAATAAATTTATGTGCTGCATTTGTATCTGCCCACCAGCAAACTACAGACATCGCCTTCGCAAAGCAAAGTGGTAAAATTCAAAAATTGATGTGCAGTATCACCAACATTGAAATCAATTAAGTGATTTCACTGTATTCCAAATTAGGTAAAAATTTTTTTGATGAACAATAAGTAAATAAAACAAAAATTGCAAAAAAAACGCAGTTGATAAAACTGAACAATTTACGAATCTTTAAAACGTTGTATCTCGGAAACTATAAGACTTACAGAGCCCGTTAAGGGCTTTAATTGTCACAAACAAAAATCGAAAAAATGTGCGGGACAATTTAAAACAAAAAATAGATATCTGATGTAAGGAATGATCATTTTCTGTCTACTAGGGATCGAGCGGCACAGAATTTTTGCTGACATTGCTATGCTCGAAGGCCGATACCGAAAAAATATCGGCGTATCGGCCATTTTCTAAAAATTGAATATTTCAATTTAAGTTGCGAGAAATTGGAACACACCGTCGAATTATATTTTATGTCTTACTATAACCTATCACAGCACATTTTATATCTGTGATACGCGGGCATAAAGTGGTATTATGCCCTAGGGCATTAAATATCACCATAGTAACTCATTTATACTTAATGACAAAACAAATAAGTATTTGCAGGTCATTGAAAATTAGAAACGTCAATTATTAATTGTCCTTATTTCGTATAGTTTCTGGAACTTCTTGCTCATTCACGATGAATTGGATTATTTAAAATTACGTTTGACGTTTGGATGGTTTCACTCACATTATCAAAAACGAACCACGCATACTAGATCAAACATAATGAATTATTTTGTAAACGAATTTTGACGAAGAAAACTATTTGTAAAACATAAAATTGTGTATGTACCACGGGCATAAACTGATGTTTATACTCTCGGGCGAGTAAAAAGCTCTCGGGTCATAGGCCCTCGAGCTTTTTAACTCGTCGCCCTCGAGAATATAAACATCACTATTATGCCCTTAATACATAAATAACTATTTCATGTTTTTTTCAATTAATTTGATTTGCGGAGTGGCCACGTGGGCACGAGTGCGTTTTCGGGGGATAATTTCATTATTTCCGAGAATTTCTTAGAATTTGGACTTTGATTTAATAAATTAATTCAAAATTGGTACGATTGGTAAATTGATTATCTACTATGTAATTAGGTTAATCCGTGGGTAGATTAAGTTCATTAGCGATTTGATTTCTAAGAATTTCCTCTAAATAGGCTGATTCGCGGATTAATCAATTCGATTCGTAGTTTAGTATAATTAGCGGTCCAATTAATTTTATTCATGGATCGATTAATTTAATTCGCAGATTGATTAATTAAATAATTAAACTACCAATCAAACTGATTAATCCGCGAATCAAACTAGTTAGAGAAAATTCCAGGTTTTCCTGATTATCCCGGTCATACCATAATTATATGAATATGTCTTAGCAATTGGCGTCCGATATTAATATCGGTATCGGTCGATCCCTAGTACTGTGCGATTAAAAATGAGTTGCTGTCAAGTCTCCTTTGGAACTTTTGTTTACATGGGAAATCATATTTAACTTGTGCTTTTCCAAAGGCGACTGGACAGCAACTAATTTTTGATCGCCCGTTACTATATACGAGGTGTGGCAACTAAATTCCGAGAATTTTGCTTTGGCGTGCGAACCGGCAACACTGCATGACTGGCGCACATGCGCCTGGCTAGATCAATTCACCCGCTCTGTCGTACTGAAGATTTCAAGTTGATCGGACGTGTAGGCTGTTCTTCGAAGACAAGTTTTTTAACTCGGTTGCAGTAATGACCGACTCAATTTTTAAGCAACGCACTGTAATCTAATTTTTTGTCAAAAACCTGCAGAAAACGAAAACTACGGCAGGTGTATGGAGACGAGTGTCTGTCACAACCACGTGTTTTTGAATGGGAAAACGGTTCAAAATCGTTGGATGACGATCCACGGCCAGGGGCGCCGCCAATTCTCACACGCACAGACGCAAATGTCGACCGGTATTCGCAAGCTAGTCCTGTCTGACCGCCGCCTAACCCTTTGTGCGTTATCATACGAGTTAAATATAAATAATGACACCAATTCGGCAGATGTTACATGAAGATTTAGGCATGCGGAAGCTGTACGCGAAAATGGTGCCCAAAATTGTCACAATCCAAAAAAAACAAATGCGAATATTTGGCCAAAAAAAATCCCAACATTACCGCATCCACCCTACAGCCCCGACTTGATCCCCTGTGACTTCTTCTTGTTCCCTAAAATGAAGAGTCACCTCAAAGGAACCCACCATGGCAGTGTAGCGGCCGTCCAGGAGGCTACGACCGTTGTCTTGAAAGGTCTAACTTTGGAGGACTATCAAGGGTGCTTCCAATCATGGGAGAAACGTTGGAAACGCTGTTCTGAGTTGGGAGGTGACTACTGTGAAGGGAGTTAATAAAGTTTTGTTGCTCACTTAATTTGCTTGTGTTTTATTTAGAAATTATCGGAATTTAATTGCCACACCTCGTATACTGGGTGAATATATCGCCAAACTCACATAGAGAATTAACATGGGAAAAAGGTTTTTTGTAGATAGTTGCTCCCCATGTTAACTTAAAGGGTTATAAGCATATGACACCAATGAAAAGATTTTTTTTCTCATCTAATGATATACGAATTAGTTTATTTTCAGGTGTATTTCTCATTATTTTATCAAAAATGCAATAGCAAAATCATGTTAAGCCATGACTAGTAAAACAAAAAGCAGATTCAAACGTCGAAATCAATATCAGTTTATGACAACTGGCATTAATTTTTTTTGTAAAACTGAAGAAAAAGTATTTATAATAAACAACGTTTACAGCGCAAATATTTACTCTATAGCGCGTTCGCACGCATCTGAAGGTGCGGACGCGATATAGTACGCTATATTTTATTTCCGTGGATTTTAATGAGCGTCCCATTCCATGAAAACCTTAGAAAATTTCCAATTGGATCATAACTATATGGCTTAACATGCGATTTTGCTAATTGGATTTATTGCCGAATTTTTGCTAAAATAGTGAGAAATACACCTGAAAATAAACTAATTCGTATATCATTATAGATGAGAAAAAAATCTTTTGATTGCTGTCATTTTTATAACCCTCTAAGCATGGGGAGCAACGATCTGCAAAAATCGTCTTTCCCATGTTCAGTTTTAAAATATTCACCCGACACTCGGTATGTTAAAGTTGACTTTTTTTAATGATGCTGAGGGGGCCTGTTCGTTTGGTGTTGCACCAGGGCCCGCGCCTCACTTGTTACGTCCCTGCCTCGACTGCGAATGTCCGCCTTCATAAATCCGGGAAATCCCCTTCACCAAGTCCACAACTGTTACGTTGGGAAATCCCAAGACCACGACTTTGGTTCAAAACTCAAGGTCATGGCCTTCGGACAAAATCTAAGACCATGACCTTGTGACGTCACAAAGTAGTGGGGATGAGATGCCTGGAATCTATTTTAAACAATAGTAGCCGGAATCCAAGTTCTTTCTTTTCCAAAACCCCTCACGAACACGTCCTGTTTCTCAAGCAAGTCTTTGTACAAATACCTGCATCAAACGGCAAGACCAATATTCCCGATACTACTACAACCATCTACAATTTAAGTTTTAATATTAAAAATTGTTGTTAATCTGCATATTTATTTAGTAGTAGCTGTAATTAAAACTACTCCTAGATTTCAATCTTTTTTCTTTTCAGTTATAGCAATTTGTACTTGTATGTATTATTAGTGTGAAAGTATGTTTATTATGTGCAAAGTTAAAAAATTGACCACATTTATAGCTTTTGCAAGTGATAGGGACGTCTTTGTTTGTTCCTACTTATTCAGGAGGTGCGTCAAAAACACACATACCATTATGTAATCCACCAGATGCGATGGTACGAAACATAAACGATTACAATGAAATGAGTAATCTTTTTATGGTAAGATCATTGCAAATTTGAAATTTATTAGAAAAATTATAACAATTCTAGGAAATTCCATTATAGAGGTAAAAGAACTGGACATGCAAAAATAGTGAGGGATTTCTATTTAACAATATATAGCTTATAATTCGTCAACCATTCCACAAATCTACATAAAGAACAATACAAATTATTGTATTTTACGCAAAAAAACAAGAAACATCCTACAAGGCTTCATCATATAAATAAAACAAAAATTAAGCTACAACATAAACAATATATCAACAATTTCACAGTTATCCATAATAAAAAAATATACATTAAAAATAAAATATTTAATGTTTATCCACGTAAAATGCAAATAATATTAATAATAATGAATGTCTATATAATTACTGTATATGTAAAATACAAATACTATTTACATCTATATGTATGTATGTGCATGAATATGTATAGATATACCTACATACATACATGTGTGTACATATATACATACATCTACAAACATAAAACACATACAAATGCTTACACATTTCACATGGCTCAAAAATTATATATTTACAGCATGAGAGGTTGATTACATGTGCCAGCATGTGTATGCGACAACACAGCTATTTACAATTATCTAGCTATGTACAATATATCACAATCTATACATTTTAAGCGGGCTCCTTTTGTACTATTGCCGCGAGTATTCAAGGCTGCACTCCTGTGTGAGTTACGTATATAGGCGCAGCAACTCTGGGTTTGAATGAGGGCTGCAGCATGTACAGCCTACAAGGCAATGTCACTTCACGTCTTTTCTCCGCTTACCCTCTCCTTCCGATACTGAAATTCGAACTTTGTTATTATAGCCTCTAAAACACTCTTTCGACGATGACTTACCTGAACTACGAGTTTTGCGCCTTACATTATTAATTACAGATTGTGTTTTGTCCCCTTTGCTCCGTGTGTTTAATGCCGGGGTCGTTCGAATGGAACTCCTCGTCTTAACTGGGGCGGCTTTCACGATTCCTCCAGCGATTGCGGTCGTTTTAAACTTAGTTCTGGCACTGTTTATACTATTCTTTCGTACCTTACCGGCAATCTCAATTAATGGCTCATCGCTATCTGAACTATCGTCGAGCAACGTATTCTTTCTAACAGTTTTACTCACGTCGACGCCCACGCACGGTTTAACTAGTTCCGAGACATTCTCGGAACACTTCCTCAATTTTTTATTGCGCATTTCGTCAACGCTGTTAGTAGAACTCTCCGACTCGTGCCTGTTACGCTTCGCTACGTTGATTCGAGGTGGTTTCGAGGCTATGGGCGAATTAAGTTCGGGGCTACTCAACTTGGATGAGGCACGTGTGCGTAGCGATCTCGTCACGGGGCTCGACGAACTAGTCGTTTGGTTATCGGGAATTTCGATAAGCAACTGTTCTAGCAGACTCTTACTTTTGATCAACGCCGGGCACGAATTACTGTCAGAGTCCGACAAACTGGGACTCTCGGAGCTACGACTTTTATCGGGATTGGAATATGTGTACAAAGGGGGCGATAATCTAATTGGTCTAGGATCTAAATCTTCAACGGATTCAGATGGTTTAATTGGAACTAAAGTCACTTCGACTTGCGGTAGTTGATCTTTTAAAACCGGAGAGGCGAGCGTTGTTAAACTAACGGTACCCTGTTTTAAACTGTCCTGGAGCGCAGAGGTGAGACCGCAACACTGTTCCATTTTAATACTTCCGCCGTGCTGATTTTCGTTCGGGTCCTCTCCGTTTAGACCTTCCATTTTTGCTAACTGTGCCTCGATATCAAGGATGCTAGGCACTTGAGGTTTTGTTTTCAGCGTGTCCGGAATGTCGGTATGCGGACTTTGGCTAGCTTGATTAGGTGATTTTTCACTAAGCGCGTCCATACTCTCAATTCCGCTATCTTCACCTTGACCACCGGAATTCGGAGACCGACTCGCTTGTTTCTCATTTATATCAGTCTTACAGTCTGGTAAAGGGGGCTTACTTAATTCCGGCGGTTTTTCCGGTATCGAAATTTTTTCCGTTAGAGATTGGACAAGTTCGCTCTTACTTGGCTGAAAAATCTTATTATCTAAACTTTGTACATTTTCCGTCCTGTGGGGCGGCCTCGGTACACCCGTTTCGGAGTCTTCTAACAACCTCTGTTTAAACTTTGCTTCCATATCAATTTCCCCCGTTGGTAATGATATCTGCTTCGTTACCTTCTCCGGGAGATTTTTTACAAAATTTTTACTCCTGTTTATTTCTTTCACTTTACACACGTCTTTGCATTTCACCTTCTCTTTTCTCGGCTTTTGCATGGGAAGTGTAGCCACGGTACCGATGTTTGTAGAACCCAAAACAAACAACTGAGAATCGGTGTCTACCGGGTCAGTATGGCTTAACCGTCTCTTCTTGTCATTGGGTAAGATTCCATTGCAGTCCGCGTACGGTTTCACAGAATGAGCTACTTCGGGATCGCTACCCCTTCGCTCTTTTAAATGCGGAAGTCTTCCGATCTCCTTGTCCAGTAAGTGACCGCCCGCCATTAAAGTTTGTTCTCTGTGTTCGTTAACAGACCTCATCTTCTTCAATTTACGCGATTCAGTTCCACAGTTTTTTGTATAATCAACAGGAAGTAACGAACTCGTATTGCCTTCCGACTGGTCACCTGGCAATGGAGAGGGAGAGGTGGAGTTTTTTTTAAATTTTGGGTCTTGAATTTTCCTAACCTTAGACTTGGAGGCACTATCTTCCGAACTACTCTTAAGCTTCTTTCTGTTATTTATCACCGCGTGGTTACGTCCCCGTAAGGAGATGTGTAAAGGCGGAACCCTCAATTCTTCACCGGGTACGACGGTTGGAGTCTTGATAAAACTCAAATCCACTTTGTACGCCGAATTAATCGGCTCCGACTTCTCCAATTTCAACCTCAATTTAATTTTCTCCGGCTTTAAGCTTGGAGAATCGCCTGTCCTTTCGCGATTCCTATTCTTCATGCGAGAGTTCTTGCTGCTATCGCTGTGATTCGATCTGCTCTCGCTGTCACTCTGATCGGATGTATCGTGACGACTCATAGAATTTGTATCCTCATCAGACCCGCTCGTCGGTGACGGTAAGCCAGTAAAAATATCATTGTGTTCGTTAGTTTCGGTATCGCTGCTAATATGCGGTTCCATTTCCCCAGTTAAAGGATTGATCAGGTAATTGCAGTTTTTTGTCAAATTGCCGCTCAACTCGTCGGGCAAACTCGGAGAATTTCGTACCATTTCATTCTCGAGACTGGGCAAAATTTGATCTAAATCCGTTTCCTTTAGCTCTGTTAGTGCCGATGGCAGGTCGAGAAGCTGCGGCATCGGTTGAGCGATCGGTTCAAATTGTAAAGGATAGGGCGGCGGACAAGGTCGATATTGCGGTACGGTTCTCATTGTGGCATTATTGGGTATCGGCGGGTAGGTTATTTGGGAAATCTTGCAAGGATCTGGCATGTTTGGATTAAACATTGGTAAATTGGTAGTGGTGGTTGACCTGACCGTTTTAGCGACGCAGTTGTTTATTATTTCCGGCTCACTGGAACTCGGCACTGTAGACTTCTGCATATTTGGGTGAGGTACCATATTCATTTTAAAGGTGGCGTTGGTCGGTGTTAATGATGTTGTGGTAGCACTCTGTATCGTAGTTGGTAAACGGCTATTTTGTGTAATGTTTGGGTATGATAGGGTATTGCACTGAGTTTTAGAAGCTGATAATGTAGGACGCATAACAGGCGGTGTATAACCGGAAGCAGCTGCAGTATGAAGAATTGGTAATGATGGCGATGATGTAATAACGCTGTTGGTTTTAACTATTGTAGCCGGAATGGATTTCTGAAGAAATTTTCCGGGCGAAGAAGGTACTTTCACTGATGTGGTCTCTTGGTTAGTCAAAGAAATTGGTGGTTTGTAGTTGGAGGTAGAAGCGATACTTCCGTTTGCCTGAATTGAACTACTGCCTATACTTGGAACATTTTCTGGCTCTATTTTACAAGATTTCAAGCTATTGCCCTCATTTTGCAACAAGTTCACCAATAATGGACTAGAAATAGTGATAGGCGGTTGCTTTCCAGGATACGGCGGAGGCGGCGGTGGTATGTAATTTGCGGCTATAGGTAAATTATCTCTACTATGTATGGCCTGATTCATGCTTGTAAAAGGAAATGGACCAGTATACGTTCTTGCACTTGAAAGAGAATTGGATGCCAAATTTTGCGAGGGCACTTTTGGAACTACAGTATCCGTGGGGCACAGTACATTTGGTGAACGAAATTGGATTTTATCTGCCGAAGTAGGAACCTCTGGTGTTGATACAGGTATTTCCTCCACCATGTTTCGTACGGGCGTATTCGTACTAGTACTTGGTGTGTTGCTTCCATCTGAAACAAAATTTCCGTTTACACAAAAATAAACTTTCAGTTTGTTGAGTGAATGCATCTTTCCAACAAACAAGAGACTTTGTACTAATTTGTAATCATAAGAATAAACGTACTTTTGACTATGTCGCTTAAATTTACAAGTTGTTAGAAAAGGATGGCTAGTATTGGTGTTAACCTCTCAGGCTCACACGCATATTAAGAAAACTGTGATTCACCTTCGAATGACATTGTCTGAATCTGAATCTTAAACCTACCCAATTACGAAAAATTAAAAAACAAATTAAAAAAATCTGATGTGCCACTAGTAGTCCAGGCCCTAGAGCTCAAAACAGGGACCTTGCAAATTTTTGAGACAAAGAACCAAGATGCAAGGTTTTCTGGGTCGCTGAATCCGAATTTGACATTTGCACAAAAATGAAGCCGCCATCTTGGAAAAATGGCGGAAAATCGGCGTTTTTTCCACAAAACCCGAATTAACTCATTTGGTATCGGTTTTTTGTCGAAAAAACCTCAGTAATAAATTAAAGTACATCAAATTTCCTTTGAGATGAGCCCTTGTTGATCAAAAACCGGATAAAAACTTACGCCACTGCAGTGCGACGAATTTCGGCCCAAAAATGACGTTTTCTATAAAATCAAAAATTTGCTGAATTTTGCAGTCCTCCACTTTAATCGCATTCACGGGGTAATGAGTATCAAGATCATACCTAAGTTTTAACATTTTTATTCATAATTTACATGATTTCTGCATTGAATGATTCAAAAGGCCTTACTCATTAAAACCCCCGCCGCCCAGGTTGTGTCAACTCAAACTCTTAGACCTTTTTTTTGTCGCAAAATGATGATTGTAGAGTGACTGAATTGACGCAACCTAAGCCGAATCCATCCACGACGTTGGTGTGTTGTAGTGGCTGCTCTTTATCTTTATCTCTTCCGACTTGATGGACCGGGTTGATCAAACACCTCGGGTTCTGTCGCATCAGATGAAATTTCTGGGCCTTGGACAGCTGCACGATCCTCTTTGAGCGTTTTGGAGACGCTGGGATTTCTGAACTTGATTTCAGATTCACTGGATCCTAATTCTGATTCAGTTTCAAAAGGGCTGTCTGTTGAGGTATTGATGTATCATCTTCATCGCTAGACGCCTCATCGTCGTCTTCTGTAAAACTAGTCAATTCACCATCATCGTCGTCAACTCCGTCCTCTTCCTCCATTAAGGCCAGCGTGTCACCTGGGATATTTTCACAGGAGCCATGACAGTTGGCGCAAACAAGAGAGCATTGCAGCCCTGCCTTTCTACAACCACACGCTCTGCCACATCCCTTTTTACATTTGCATGAAATTTTGTTTAAGATCTTTTCCGGGGCAGAGTTTTGCAAGGCGGTAATTGGTATGAGGCCATTTTTGCTCTGCTTCCAACCCCAATCAAGAGCGTTTTTTTTTATTCCACGCCACTGCTGGATCTGATGATAGGCCCCAAATGAAGATTTTTGATTGGGCAGCAGGACGTTATGTTCTATCAACAGGAAAATCCGACAGCAAAATTTGACGGCAATACACGAAAAACAATTTTTTGGCTACATTCCAAACCACGTATCCTGGATGAACTGTTCGATGGAGAAACACGGTTTTGAACGGTAGCAAAAAAGTTGGTTCTCTTTCGTTAAATGCTGCCCAATTATGCATTTGAATAACGAATGTTGAGTTTCTGACGAAACAGCCAATAAGGGTATAAAAAATAAAAAAACCACAATTTCGTCGCACTGTAGTGGCGTTAGTTTTTATCCGATTTTCATCATCAAGGGCTTATCTCAAAGGAAATTTTATGTACTTTAATTTATTACTGATGTTTCTTCGCCAAAAAACCGATACCAAATGAGTTATTTCGCGTTTTGTGCAAAAACCGCCGATTTTCCGCCATTTTTCCAAGATGGCTGCTCCCGCGTCATTTTTGTGCAAATGTCAAATTCGGATTCAGCGACCCAAAATACATAAGCCCTGCATCATGGTTCTTTGTCTCAGAAATTTGCAAGGTCAAACCCTCTGGGGCCTGGACTATAGACTTAAGCGCATTTTTGATGTGGCAGATCAGTAGCGTTTAGACTAAAGTAAGAATAATCTGATTCTACCGTGTGTTCTATTTTGGTTGAAACTGCAGTGTATCTCAGCTGTTTTCGCGACCATATGTCACTTTTTTGTGAAACTTTTTATGCCACAAAACAAAATCAATCTAGTTACATTTGTTACTGAGATACAGGGTGAACAAGAAAAGTTTAACTGTTTATTTTAAATGTTCTTATGTAGAATCCAGTGGCGTAGTCAATAACACTTTTTGGACCACTGTTTGTGCCATTTGACCCAATGTTGGTATTTTTTAAAATGCAACACGCTATATTTTTAACGTCAATATTTTTCAAAAATTTCAAATGATACGTTTCTACCATCAGCCATTTTTATTGATTATCGGCTACCATGGACACAATGAACGAAACAAAACCTCCATGAATCCATGGCCTAATATTTAAAAACCGTAATAAATAAAGTGTTTATTTTTGGTTCATGGATAAAATTAGGTAGCTAAGTTTCTGCCTTGAAGCTACCTGCATTGTTACAAAGACCATAGCTCTGAACATATTTAGTTCTGTTTTAGAAATTGGAATGTCCTATGACATCAGCATGGTATCTTATTGCACTTAAAATCCAATTAAGGAGGTGTTAGTTGGATCACAATTATTGGAGTTGGGATGCGTCCAATTAAGTAAGCTAATTAATTATTGACATTTTAGCGAGTTTGAGAATACCCGTCCGATTGAGCTGGGCCTTATCTTAAACGAAGCGCTCTTAAAAAACTTGAATTTTGACACTGGTCCCGTATTTTTAGCACATCTGGGAAAGAAATTATTGATCAAAGAAGATGCCGTTTTTGGATGTAGATAACTGAAACCGTCTGTTTTTACATGTTTTATTAAGGTTTTGGTATACCCGCAAATTTAAAAATAAATTTCAACATTTCTGTTATTAGTAACAATAGCCACGACTTTTGTTGTTTTATGAATTGCTACTAATAACAGAAATGTAGAAATTTGTTTTTAAATTTGCGGGTATACCAACAGCTTAATAAACCCATAAAGAGCGTTTAAAAAAAGCGACAGAACACCTCGGTGTGACCCCACGGAGTCATTGAATTTGACCCATTTTCAATTTGCTTGTTACATGTGGTATATACAGGGCGAGTTTTTTTTCATTTTAAGCATTGGGATCTCGGAAACCATATGACATACGGAGTCGGTTAAATGAGGAAGGAGTTGTCGTTTTAAGAGCTTATTTAAGATATGCTTTTGTTTTTTGAAAAAAATCCACAGTTCACTAGATATGAGCGAAAAACAGATTTAGTGATTTTTCATTTAACTGTTGTAGAATCGTTATTATTAGAAATACAACAAGATGACACGGATAAAAGTTTTAGACATTTTAATGTTTAACATGATGAACATACTAATTTATTTTTAGATCTTACAATTTTTGAGTTATAATACAAAGTTTAATTTTTTTTAATGGTAGTCATGGCTTTAACATTTTTAAAAAGGACAAATTTTTCTCTTTATAACGATACAAGGCTTGCTAAATGTACTTTAATAAATAAACGCCCTGCAGTAATTTTCGTATTATCTTCATTTTCTATCAAATGAATTTCAAGATATGTAGGATCGGTTAGATTTGGAAACACGACGTAATTTACGCTGGTTTCAACACAACGGTGCCCCGCCGCACAACTAACTGCAAGTTAAATATTATAATAGACAGTAATTAAGAGAACAAAAATGTTTCCCATGCCAAAATCTGTTTTTACTACTCTTAATAATACAAACAGTTCTATATCATGTTTATTTGTCAAAGTAAGTACAATGATCCTAATATCATTGTAAAATGATCCTTAGGTATATCATTGTAAACAGAAAAAAATGCACTTTTTAAAAATGTCACAGCCAACTATGATTACCATTTAAAAAAATGTAAGTTTGCGTTATAACTCGAAAATTATAAAAGAAGAATAAATATTAATAAATGTACCTTATTAAGCGAAAAAAATCTACAATTTTTGTTCTTTGCATATTTGTGTATTTCTAATACTAACGATTCTACAACAGGTAAATGAAAAATCACTAAATCGGTTTAGCTCATATCTAGTAAACTGTGGATTTTTTTCAAAAAACAAAAGCATATCTTGAATAAGCTCTTAAAACTACAACTTACTTACGGTTTTGGAGATCCTAATGCTTAAAATGAAAAAAAACTCACCCTGTATGTTAACTGTGCAAAGTTTGAACCAAATCAGTCCAATCGTTTGATAGTTATCGTGTTCACGGACAGAAGGACACCATCGACTCCTCATTAAAGCTTGCATCGCTTTGCTTTGCCGCTTAATAAAACATGTAAAAACAGTTTTGTATGCACCTTTTAATTCTGAACAACTTTAAACTCTACAGATTTTTCTGTAAAATGTACAGGAGGGCAGAATATTGCATAAAACTAATTTCCCATGTTAAATCCCTATGTTCCTACTTACCGTGCACCACCCGGTATAGGCCACGTGTACCAAGCCTATTGAAAATGAGTCAAATCCAATGACCCCGTAGGATCACACCGAGGTGCTATGCCGCTATTTAGATCAGCTTTAGGTCATTTCTGTAATATACAGGATGTCCCACAACGAAAGCCGGCTACCTACATCTCCAAAAGGAGAGCTAGGAATATTTTGAAAATTTGATACCATACTAATATGCATAAAAGGAATTTGTGTAAATTATATTCAAGTTGATGTCAACTTGCTCATTTTAAATGGAACGCCTTATAAGTATACAGGGTGAGTTTTTTCCAATGTTTAGTATGGGAAACTTGGAAACTACCAGGGATAGAAAGGCGATTAAATGGGGAAAGAATTGCGATTTTACCAGCTCAATTTAATGACGTTTTCGATTTTTGAACAATGCATGGATAACTAGATATCTCAAAAAATTGTTTTTTGGTTTTTTGTTTGGTGCCACTAGTTCTATTATCGACTTTAAAAAAAATGTGCAAAGGAAACGCTGTAAATAAATATCTGCTCAATAATACAGTCTAATCAAATTTTTCTAGCTTGAGCTAGGTGGTTATTGCGAATACCTGTCAACGTTTCATCAAATGTCGACGTTTTAGATCATTTTAAGCAACAGTTAAAAAATAATTTTTTTCCCGTCTGTATGTACAGTGTGTTCACAGATTGAGTATATAAGTGGCATTTGACAATTTTTTTAGAGTTGGATTTTCATGTTCTGAAGATCGCTCCTGCGTCAAACTAAGATATTAAAAAAATGAAATCAAATAATATACAATACAGGGTGATTTTTGTCGAATTTTAAAAATTAGTCAAGAATAAACTGTCTTTATTTTAAGATATACAACACAAATGTAACACTATCAATTTTCATACGAATCAGCCTACTTGTATTTTTTTATCACTATACGTTTGAGCTCATGTTTGTAACAAAAATCAAAGCAGACTGATTTGTATGAAAATTGAAAGTCTTCCTAAACAACTTTTTTAATACATTTGTGTTATATCTGCTAAAATAAAGACAGTTTGCTCTTGACTAATTTTTACAATTCGACAAAAAACCATCCTGTACCTATATTAATTGATTTGGCTCATTTTTTGATAGTTTGACTCAAACTCCAACTCTAAAAAAATTGTCATATACACCTTATACGCACACAATCCGCGACCACACTGTATATACGTACATACACACAGCAACGTTCCCAGATAATCGTTTGATAGATTTTTTTAAATTTCGGATATGTATATTAGGCGTACCGAAACGCAAAAATAACGGGTCGGATATTTGGACATTTTTTTAATTAAATTATATGAACGACTTTCTTTTTCTGTGAACAACCTTTAAAAACTATAGCTTTTATTACAAAAAAAACGGCGAAAAACTAAAATTTTTCTTCGCCAAAACGGATATTTTGATTTCGTTAAAATTTTGGCAGTGTACATTAGGCATAGAGGAAGCAAAAGCTCCTTCTCACGAGGCGTTTTTAAAGCGCTGTAGTGTGGCGTTCACACAGAGCGGCGCTGTGGCGCGTATGCGTGATTTGTTGTGGACTTCCGCTACACAAACGCGCGTTGCTTGTAGCGCGACCCCTTCACACGGCGACAATTTTTTGGGTGTGCAAAGTTGCAAAATATTCACGATTTTCGAAAAATATCACCTCCTTTCCAGGGGGATAAAACCTCTTTTTTTTTTGCATCGTACAACGCTGCACGAGGTTGCATAATTTTCGTAAAACTCATCAAAAATAAACAAATTTCGAGAAAATCGCCAAAAACTCCACTCCCTGACCCCAACGCACGCGCACGGTACAGTTTATTGTGTTTTAGACACTGCATGATTGTCAGATGTTTATTGCTACTCGCTTTTGGTTGCCATATGCTAGCTGGTAATGAATTCAGAGTAGATAATGTGTTTTATAAAGTTTTCCATTGTTGTATTTATTAGTTGTAATGTAATATTGGAAAAAGTTACCTTGTGGTGGTTGCTAATATATAATTTATTTATTTTATTTTTCTTTGTTTTTATTTTCTATGCGATTTTGGTTATAGCTCATAATAAAAAATATAAACAAATAAATTATATATTAGCATCAACCGCAAGCTAACTTTTTTCAATATCAGATAATGCAATGTGTTCCCATTGGAGGAAGTTTGAATTAATGTTCACTTAGACTTTTTTTAACAAGTCATTTGAATTAATTTGCGAATTAACCATTTGGACCAATGGACGATTGATTGTCAGTATCCGCCATCTTGAGTTTCATTTTGACGAGTAAATCATAACTTTGATATTTATTGAGGTATTTAATTTTGTGTAAATCAGCAATTTTTAATTTTTTTTTAAAATAACTGTTTATGACGTTCGATTTTACTTACTCAATTAAAATGCTTGTTGTCACCGACTCTCAAATGGCAACATCTTGAAGACATAATTATAAAGATTTTTTTAAAATCTTTCACCTTTAGAGGGTGTTCCTGTAAAGCTGAGATTTCCAATTTTTTCAGCACCCTGTATTTCTGTCTTACAATATTTTTTATTATTTTTTTGCATATATTTTGGGCGAAATATTTCCACAAATAAACTTGTTATAGCTTGAGGTGTTGTCCTCGATATAGTTGGTTAAGATAGCAACAATTAACAATCTCAATGGATGATAACAGGAAATAAATAGCAAAAATCCTAGGTTTGCCTAAATAACGCCAATGTGCAAAGTCTGAAAATGTAGAATAGGTAGATTAAATCTTTATTAAAGGAAAACAAAACAAACATTATGTACTTTCTGCCACCTGTGCCATGATGGCGCTCCTATCTCCTTGGTTTGGGAATGTAAGCTAATGTAAATGTATAGTATATAAAATTGGTAGAGCTGTTCTACAGCTGATATACCTATCTTGTTTTGCATAAAAATGTGCCGCCATTATAGGTATAGGAATATTTGCCATTTTCTATTATTCCATTTCGTAACAAAATTTCCTAAACTATTTAGGATTCTGTTGAAAATATCCTGTATATTACTAAAAAAAATTGAACTTTAGATGGCTTGATTTCATACCAATTTTAATATCACGTTATCCCTCGCGTTATCCTGTTGAAAATGAATAACAAATCTGATTGTTATTTTTATCCCCTTCTATTGCTACTTTACACAACAATTGTATTTTCAAGCATCGTATGTGAAAGCAAGAGATTGTGTTGCGTAATCGAAAATACATACAATAGGTACACTTTTTGAACGTTGAAACGGAATCCCGAGTACACTTCCATATCTCTTGTTAGTGTCAGACCATCTCACGATCGCAAAATAAGAAAGCGATAAAAACGAAATTCTAAATAACAGACACATACCTTCGGTCGTTCTCAAGATAACCTCTTGAGGTTCGGGGCCGGCTAAACGAAGCGAAATCACTTGATCACCTTCAACTTGAACACTGAGTATTCCCAACGCGCGAAGTTGTTGAGAACCTTCACTTGCGAGATGTCTCAGCCGAATAGCTGCTTCGCGAGGGATCGACAGCGTTACCCTTACAGAATTCCAGGGCTCCAGTTTGCAAACGTATACCTTTCCACCTAATATATCTTGAAGACTACCCAAGACTCGATCTAGTCGCTTCGAAAAGGTCGGATCACAGAGATCTCCTTCGCATGTCACTACTGTTGTTACACTATAGCCATCGCTATCTGCTGCCATCTAAAAGTGGCAATTAGAAGGCAAAAAATAGTAATTGCGTCTCAACGTACCATTCTACCATCTTAAGGATCGCCAAAATCCATCAAATTTACAAAATATTTTACACCAAGAAGAAACTGCAACAAATGGACATACTGAAGAAATACAACTTTTTAACATTTTTTTAATGGAATCACACGGGAAAATTTCTTAATTAATAATATTTGTAAAATTTAAGGTTCTTGCATAATTTGTTTACACTCTTAAGAAAATAATTCAATCCTAATGGCAAGGAAAAGATGGGTTCTGCTACTGGTTGCAGCCATCTTGTATGCGAGACGGGGGAGTGTATATTTCCATGTGCCTTTTGTCAAATACTTTTTAAAGCACAATTATTTCGTGATAAGACGGCATGTAATAAACACTACGACGTTTTTACTTTAAATTCGTTCGAAAGAGCGTAAGCAAGAACGTTAAAAAAGTACAATTATGGAAATTGATTTGCTTTAGGCACACATTACATACCCCATATTTAGTGACACACTTTTTAAATAATCCGACACAGTATGAAGGTGCACAAACACTTGCACTTAACAAACCAATCCTCAGGACACTAATAAAATATATGCGATTTTTGAAAAGCTCGTCAAATCGTCCATAATTTTGTTACAAAAATTTATACGCTATGAACAATAACAACTAAACGCCATTCGAAATGCGCATACGAATGCGCGGTAGTACTAAAATGATGATTACCTAAAATCTAAAATTTTACAGAAATTCTATGAAAATTGCAAAATTATAATTTCTCCTATCGTTTTATCATAAACAAATGTATTGTTTTAATTGATTAACTGGATTAAAGTCGTCCACGTGCAAACGCTACCAGTTATTAATTTCAATAACTTTAAGTACTTAGGTATACCTATAGGTATTGTAGAAGTGCAAGAAAACTTAAAATCCTTAGGTACATATTTCAGTCCAATTTTATAATGTCTTGGTCGGAACATGGTGATTCCTCCGACCATTCACCAAAACTACTGCCCCTACATGCTACGAGTTTAAAGTCGACTTGGTCAAACATTTATCATAAAATCACTTCGCAGAAGACAAGGTCTCGCAGATTTAATTGTTCGTTCTACATTTTATGGTTTCAATCTATTTGAAGACCCAAAATTCAACCCATTGATGTTGAAGATCTTACTATAGTGGTACAACATAACAAACGAAACAAGTTCATATAATCTTCGAAAAGCATGATTTACCTATTTGTATTTAGAGCACATTTTGGTTCTCATATTTTGAGCATTTAACTGCCTATTTGAATCACTCACGAATGTATGTGACATTCTTCGCAAGCAATTTAGCTTTCACGTTAATTTTTATAATTAGAAGTGCTGCATTTCGCTACTTGCCAGTTATGTGGAAGTATGAACTATAAGTAATCGCCCGTTTTTATATTCATAAATTAAGTCTAAATATTCGCATTCAAACAAGCCTTTTAGGTAGGGACATTATGTCATTAGCGCAAAGCCAAAACGAGCCTCAGGGTGACAAAGTTTTAAACTTTATTTTTGATATTGCCTTTCTAACACCGAACCTACAGCTCCATTTAAAAATTGCAATTTATTTCCCTAATCGCCTTTATCATCACCAATAATTTATTGTATGTGGTAATGGTAAAAAAATTCAAATTGTGCCTCACTATGTACATAGAAGATCTATGATAAGAGGAACGCGCGCAACACGCAATTGCGTCATTATTACACTAGAGGGCGTTGATAGAAATCAAGCAGGACCGTAGCGAGGTCAAGGTCCGAGATAAATATCGGACGGCATCGACCGAAAATTTGGGAGTGCTGAATTTTAATTATTGTATCGCACTGCAACAAGCTGGAATTGCAAGAGAAGGCTCTAGTGACGGGAAATGAGTATATTTCACAAATGAACGATGACCGATCGACGAGGATCGGTAGAGCGATCATCAGTCGAATTTAAATTGTTTTCACAAATCACTATGTCATTCATCAGTATCATCTACCGTCAGTATGTATTTCAGAAGTAACGACATACTGTATCCAAACCGCAACTAATGATACGCGAGCATGTGAAAATTTCCGTTTATTAAATGCCCGATGATCCGCACACGCCACGGGTAGAATCGATGCCCGTGCTTTTTCATCGGTCGATCGATGGTCCGACAATATGTGAACGATATACAGCTTAAAACAATGGATAGGACGGATCGTCAGTACTGATCATTGGTCTTTTGTAAAACGGGCGTCCAAACCTTTCGCAGATTATTGGAAAAGATGCGGGTTTTATTTTTCCAATTTTCCGCCTTTATATGAAAAAAATTGAAAACTAATACGGTTGATTGACCTAAAATATTTTTTTCTACAAAAACCTTAATACATTTTTGCCCTAAGATAATTTGGCGAGCCAATAATCGTATGTTATGAATATTACATTGAAATCCCTATGATGCGAGTTACGCAAGTCAACTCAATGTTTATTTTGTTTGTTCTGTTTTAAAAAGAGCATCTAGAGGTAGTAACCATTTTTTATTCATTATTGTACTAACTAGATATTAATTTTCAAATTTCATGTCACATTCTTACTGCTGACAGGCCCCTTTATTGCTTTTGCTTTAATTAGTCAACGAAAACTTTGAATAATAGGTATATAGTCCAGGGAATAGAGGGTTTTAACCAGAGACATGTCTGGTTTTAACTTGCAAAATGAGAAGTAGTTCCAATTTCTTTTGCATGTTGTAGACAGTCATCTGGTGGTTAAGAATCTAAGTTTTCGACCTCCCACCCCTTGTGCTTCCCCCGTACCACCCCCAAAACTCCTGAAATTTGGTTGGTTTCTTAGTTTTTCAATCATATCATTTTAATGGTTCACTGTAGAAAGAAATATTGTTATCAGAAATTGTAGACACAACTTTGATATACATTAGTTTTTTGTGAAATGTTTATTAAAAAAGATATAGAGCTTGAGAGTTGGTTAATATTTTTAAAAATTCTGAAATTTCTATGTAGATGTTTTAACCAAATTTCATACTTTATCTGTATAATTAAGAGTTTTATGAGAAAATATCTTGAATTTATCGTGGTATAATGGTATAAATCCCTCTACCCTGCACCCTTACCAAAGGGGATGCATAATAATGAAACTTGCAACCCTTGCTAGTGAGGATATTTGAATCACTGTGAGATTGTAGCGCTTTCTAATTATATACGTTTGAAATTAAAAAAATGTCTCACGTCAGTTTAGTTTCGCTTTTAAACGCTTTTGTGGCGCGATTGTGAAATTAGTCAGAGAGTACAACGCTTATTATTATAACATATATTTTCTATTCCTCTTTCATATCTATTCCTACCGCGGTTGGGGGGAGGGGGGGAGGATGATGAAGGATGAAGCTGAACTGAAGTAAGATAATTTTTTTGTTTCAAACGTATATTAGAAAGCCTCACAGTGATTCAAATATCCCCACTAGCAAGGGTTGAAAGTTGAATTGTTATGCATTCCCTTTGGTGCAGCGTAGGGGGATGTATACCACGATAAGTTCAAGATATTTTCTCATAAAACTCATAATTATAGAGATAAAGTATAAAATTTGGTTAAACATCTAGGTACATACAAATTTTAGAATTCTTAAAAATATAAGCAACTCTGAAGCTCCATATCGTTTTTAATAAACATTTCACAAAAAACTAGTGTATATCAAAGTTCTGTAGAATTTTATAGTCTACAATTTCTGATAACAATATTTTTTTGTAAAATGAACCTATAAAAAGATATGATTGAAAAACTAAAAAATCAACCAAATTTCTTTGGTTTTAAGGGTGGTACGGGGGAAGCACAAGGGGTGGGAGGTCGAAAACTTGGATTCTTAACCACCAGATATTCTTTTATGACATGCAAAAAAAATTGGAACTACTTCTCGTTTTGCAGGAAATGGTCCATTTTCAGTCTCTATTTCCTGGACTAATATTTATGGGCAAAAAATCATTTTCGACAAAAAATTCAAAGGGCTGTAACTTTTGATCTAGTAGCCCGATCTTGGAACTGTTTGAAATTATGGATTCTACAGGGCACATTTTATAAGAAAATATTTTTTTCCGGTCGATCTGAAACAATTTTTTTCTGGGCAAAAAAAAAGGCAGTTATTACCTTCCTTTTTTACCAAAAATCGACTGCACCAAAATTTCTTGGGAAAAAACTTTTTCTTATTAATTTGGGTGCGTAGAATCCAAAACGATTCGTACTTTTTCGATTAGACGTCTCAATCAAAAGTTATGGGCAAAAAAATTCCTGTTTTTAAAATTTAAAATTCGTCATTTCGTGAAAGGCAGGACGCAGGTACCTCACCTCAGTAGCAGTACTAAGTACCTGATACCTATTTGTTATTTTGGGCATCAATGTAGCGAATTGCCGATCGATGCCGAATAGCCAAATCGTTGACTGCCAACACTGATCACTCACTGAATAGTGAATACTACAGAATATTTAGATTTTAGTGACTTTAGACTTTAACCAAAACCAAAATTGCTCTCTATATATATATAGCTATATATTATTGTCTTTATTTTAAAGTGGGCGGAGCGGAGTATTACCTAAATACCTAATAGGTATGATGATAACTCAATTCTTCTGGGGGGGGATAACCCCTTCATCCCCCCCGTAAATACACCACTGGATCCATCGTGCTTCCCGTCCCGATCCCAGCCGACTGCTACCGAAATTCAAAAGTGCCGGGAAACATCTTCCCGAGTGTATGTACGTCAGAGACCACCAGAAATTATGTTTGTGTGTGTGTTCTCGACCAAACACCTTTTTTTTCAAAGAATAGAAATCATATTCCTGTATATCCCAGACCAGAGACCCGAATTACATTTCTTCTTATTTCCGTTTAATTCATTGAAACCAGACCTATTAATTTTGTTTAGTATAAGTTCATAGCCGATCGTACCGCATGGCGCATAGCCGTCTGTACTTTATATACAATGCTTATGTCCTATCCAACGTCACTAGTGATAGCTGCATTGCATAAACCTGCCGACTTCACGTAAAAAGTGCTGCATTGATCTCTTGAGTTTGTGCTTAGGTCGGTCGACCTGACGCAAACACTCATCGTTCTTCGTAGTTGCTAAGAGAATCAACTTGCCCCTTTAATACGGGGTTGTTTGAATTGATCGGAAGAATCCTTTTAAGGCAAAACCGTATTTCGTACGTGATATACGCCCCTGTGGTCGGGGTACTCATTCATAAAATCAAAAATACGCTATACTGAGTGCCGAGTATAAAATTAGTCCAGGATAGACAAAACGAAATGTAATTTCCTGCACTCAGATAACGGTTTCAATTCACACTCGTTGCTTATGTATTTATCATTCTCTGGAGAAAATCTAATGACTGGAACAGGGCGCACCATAACAGACAATATGAGCATTGCTTACATATTAGGTGTACTGCGAACGTACCGATATGGACTAGTGACGGTTGGCCCCGTAGAAGAAAATGGGGATTTTACATTTAAGCGAACAAAAAAGAAAATTGCAAAAATATTTTATTCTTTAAATATTTTGTTAAAAACAGTTTTAATCTTGCAAAGGATCCGCTGTCACCGCTTCTCTATTTTCATAATTCCAAAATCTGTGGAATTCTATAAGAATACTAACAAAAGTGTCACCTTGTCCAGATGCGTATAAATCATTCAGCGTAATATGTTCTGGATCTTTTGATTTGACCATATCAAATAACTCATCCTTCACATCTTCAAAACTAACAGGTGCAGCACCAAGTGCCCGCATTTGGTCCTGTATAGCTCGAAAGAAGTAATTTAAAACAAATGCGTCCAAATAACCCTTATCGTTCAAATCAAGCATTCTAAATAGAAACGCTAAAGCTTGCGGTTCTGAACGATTTTCCAGAGTTAACACCAAGTCTAAATAAGTTTTATAATCCATTTCTCCGCCATATGTTAAACAGGTTTGAAAAACTCTCTCAACAAATGGCTGTGTCAATGTGCCCGAGCCGTAATTCGCAAGTTCAGATTGACATAACATACCATTATGATCACGATCCAAGTTTAAATATTGTCCATACACTCGCAGAGCTGATGGAGCACTAAACCAATTTTGCTCTTGCACCTCCTTACTTATCTCTTTGTCACGTAATTCTAATAGATCATCCAGGAACGAACAAACCAAAATGTCTAATATGCGAACACGTCCCGCTCGTAAGCCATCAAGGAAATATATAAATTTCCTAACAGCAGTGCATACATAAAAGCTATGAAAGGAACTCTCTAACCCCTCTAACTGGGGCAATGTAGGGAGCAAGTCGGCTATGTAGCTTTCCAAATCTGCTTCTCTTAAATATCCCTGACCTGACACATCGTACAACGACAGACCAATTCGTGTTTGTTGAAGCCAAACTTTCCGCATGACGTAATTAAAAAGTGACATAATTGAAACCTGACCGTGCGGATCATTCTGCTGCAGACGTGCGAATATGTTAGCAGTAAAATAAGGACACAGTTTTGCACCGGCCAAGTTTGTAACGACTTTATAATCAGAATAACTAATGAGTTGATCATTTGGAGAGGTTTGATAATGATCCAGTAACATCCATAGGGCTTTCAATTCGTTGTTATCTAATAGATTGTGACTTCGTCTCTGAAGAAAACTTGATCTTGTTTCTTCTCTCAATTTTTGCTGCAGAACGTCATTCTCTTTGGGCAGTCGCCAGTAAAATTGGGGGATTCCCTTCGGATTTGGTTTCTTTCCGATGTTGTTCCATTCGTTCATGTATTTTTTAAAGTAATCATCTTCTTCTTTGAGTAACTCCTCAGGTGATTGCTTTTCTGGAAAAAATCAACGGTAAAGTAATAGCTGTTAAAATCAAACACAAGGTCTCATTATTATCACATGAGTGTTACACAATCCAATTAATCCCAATGTAATACAGGTAAATATACTGAACATCGCAGACTACCATGACGAACCCCTATTTCACTGTAAAAGTTGTGTCTTCCTAGAAAGATTGCATACTGTTTTTTTTTGTAGACAATTTATAACATGCTGGGATATAGGATCCCTTTCTTAATTCTGCCCTCTAGAATGTGCTAATGCATACCTACATAATAAATTACGAAATTGTTTAAAAGTACAATAAGGACCCACATAATTGTAAGCTGTTTTGAAAATTATGGAAAGATGTACCCACCTTGAATTTTTTGCTTTTTTTCTAGGTTTTTTCGCAAAAGAGTTTTCAAACTCATTATTAACAGGTTTATTTATTTACATGATTCAAAAACGTATACAAACATAACCTATCTTTAAAACGTCAAAACTTTGTAGCGTCAAAATCACCGTAGAGGCCAATGAATAGGTATTCTTTATTCATTGGTAGAGGCAGACACAATCTATGGCCGCGTTCACAAGACTCCAATGTTGTAGAAGTTAATATTCAAAAATTCTCCAATACAATTTTTTTAACAGTTACTTTTTATGTATGACAAAACAAAAATAAGTTTTCGGTTTGTACCGTGTGCCCTATTTTGGTAGGGACTGCAGTTTATCTCGGAATTCTCAGATAGAGACACGGTTTTCGCGACCTTGTGCCACTTTTTTGTGAAACTTTTAATACATACTACAAACAGAATCAGTATAACTACGTTTGTTTCTGCCATACAGGGTGACCACGAAAAGTTTGACTTTTTGATATGTTATCAATTATCATATCTTACTAGTTACTACCCATGCAAGATAGAAAAAAGGTAAAAAATGTTGGCCGCCATTTCTGAGATTTGACCCACAGTTGGTATTTTTTAAATGCAACGCGCCGTGTATACAGGGTGATTCCTATAGTACCTGCCACCGTTTGGGAGCGTGTAGGTGGTGCGTAGGGGAGTATTTTGATATAGGACACTTGGGGTCGGAAATCTAAAATAAGGGTGCCAGAGCCAAATTTACCTTCTGGAATTTCGCGCCTGTAGGTAGGCAACCCAACCGGCCGGCGGTGCACACGGAGCGATCTCAGGCGGCGATGTGTGGCTGACACTTGATCAGAATTTTGTTTAAACCCACGAAATCCCGTCTGCAACGACGCGTATCAAGTGAATAAACACTATGGCAATAGTATAATAATAGTTGGCTAGATGTAGGAAGTGCATTGAGAACAACGGTGGCCACGTTGAACACTTGTAAACGTTATTGCTTTTGACTGTCGTTTTCCCTCCTTCCCTCCCATGTCGCTTCCTCGCGCTAACTCGCTCTGCATCGCTCCGCGCGAAACGTCGGTCGGTTGGGTTGCCTACATACAGGCGTGAAATTCCAGAAGATAAATTTGGTTCTGGCGCCCTTATTTTAGATTTCCGACCCCAAGTGTCCTATATCAAAATACTCCCCTAGGCACCCCCTATACGCTCCCAAACGGTGGCAGGTACTATAGGAATCACCCTGTATGTTAACGTAATTATTTGTTGTATTCTTTTTTCTGAACCTATATATTTTTTTTAATATAATTATATATTATATTATATTATGTATTAGGCAGTTTGTGCAACACAATTTGATGTTTATAGAAAAGTCTTGTTATGTTTACATGGTTATGGTAATTTATACACTATTTTCCAAAATAACGGAACCAATGGGAGAATCAGACGTAAAGAATCTGTATATGCGCAGAATAGCTTTAATCACATGTGAATTTAAATTACCTACTGACTTAACCTAATTGCGTTGTTGGACTTTAGTACTTTAAATAATATAAATAATTATAATGAATTATAGATACATTACGTGCCCTCGAAGTTTGAAAATGTCTTCTTTATCGAACTCATACAAATTTTATCTTTTATGCCATTAATGTTAATGAGGCACAACGTAAGCAGTTGCCTACTCTACGTAATGGTTAATCCGGGACTGAGAAAATAATCGCAAACATGTTAACCGCAAAGGACAGATTAAAATTGTACGTTTCTATTATAACGTAATGTTATATTGTAAAGTTCATTGGTGCAAACCCTCTATTCTATCACATTTTTCCAAATTTCTAAATGGTTGTTTCTACTGTCAGTCGTATAATTAATTGATATCACCTGCCTTAATTACCATGGATACAGTAAACAAAACAATAAAAAGCATTATGCGGGTCACTCTATAATTGGGCGCAAGCCTGTTGAGGGCCCAGAACAAGAGAGGGATAATAAATAAATAAATAAATCTCCATGAACCCATAACCTACTATTTAAAAACAGTAAAAAATAAGGTTTTGATGGGTAGGTATAATCAAAACAAGTATATAAATTGTTAACAAATCTTGGTCAGATAGGTAAAGCGCTTTTTTCCAAACCGAAATAGCTTATATTATAGTGAATAGTTGGGTTATACAAGGTAGTAGCTAGCATGGTATATTTATCGATGTTTACCTTATTGCATAGAGGAATGCATTTCCGTGAGCATCAAATATCTAAGACAGAGCCCCCTTACGTTATAGTTAGTATAAACAACGCTGTAACCTGAGGTATATGTTTAAAAAAATGATATAGGTATAAATCTAAAGGTAAGTTCATAGCACTCCGTTCATACGTTTCCGTTTGTCCGTTAGCCAATCAGAAGACAGCAAATTTTTAAACGTACGTCGTCCGTTTACGACGGAAAAGTTGGTTGAAGTTGAACATTTACGTTTCCGTTGGTCCGTTTTTAACAAGAGTGAGGTTATGTTTGGTATGTTAACAGCGTTCGCCTATTCGTTCTTCACAGTAATAATCAGATAGCAATGTGTTCTTACTTTCGTACCATTTTCACATACTGAAAATCACGGAGGGTACAGTACAAAATAAAGTTTAGGTTATGGTTATACTTGCAAATGTACAATGTGGACGGATTGCTATGAACCTTAACAAAATGTACTATCCGTTTGACGGATCAACGCAACGGATGAACGGAGAGCTATGAACCCACCTTAAGTTGGGGAAAAGACCATAGTAATCATTACACCAAAAATGAACGCGATTTCAAACAATAAAGGTTAACGGTATCAAATACCTACGTGATTCTCTAGTGAAGTTAATTTCAAATTAAATTTCATTTTCAAGATCGAAACTCCAAAAAATATAAAATGCTGCATGCAATACACAAATACCTCGACAAATACATTATAAAGAAATGCAAAGAGTACTACTTGCATTACATAACACTTAAACTACACGATGCGAAAATTGAAGCCAATATATCGTTATGTGGTTATAGCGTTCCTTCTCGAGATCATCTCATAAAACGGCAGTAAGTTCTTCTATACTTACAGTATTTTTCAAATTAAGTCGGCACTGTTGCTAACTTTCTTAGTTGTAAAGTTAGAATAATACATTCTTCAATGAGCGTATAACGATTAGATGATTCCATCACTCTAACTCGCTACGCTCGCTCGTGTAGGAAACTTGATCCACATAAATAATAGCCATTCTACGCAAGTAGAAGACTATACTTTCTCTACGACTATGTGACTTATGCAAGATATGATTACTCCGGAGTTCTCGCGGTCGCCGAGTCCCGATCTGCCCTCGAAATTGCCCGGACATTCACAGGGTGGAGGTACGAGGGTGCCGGGAGATACAGTGGGTTGTAAAATTAACGGTACCAAGAAATTGCTCGGAAATCGTTACTCGGAGATTTTCGCGGTCGCAGAGTCGTGATGTACACTTGAAATAGTAAATTCCTCGGGATTGTCCAGGGATGGCGAGGGTGATTTTTCAGTGAAAAATGTTTGCCCCGAGTAACGATTTTCGAGCTATTCCTCGGCACGATCAATTTTTCACTCCACTGCAACCCCTTAGCGCCACGTCTGAGCATCCGCGGGGAATTTAAAGGATAGATATGGACTCGGCGACCGCGAGTAAGATCAGTCCACGCCCCCCCCCCCCCCCCCCAGCCCAACAATCGTAGCGCCGCACCTGTGCATCCCCGGTCAATGTCGAAGGCAAATGTGTGCGCTACCGAAAGCGATTTATCCAGCTTTTCATATATGTTTTTATAATTTTGTAAATAATGATACAATAATAAATAGATTTTTTGAAACCCCTTACCATTACGAAGTTTCCAAAAAAGTATTATACATTTTTTTTTTAATTTTTCTGAACACTTGGCCGAAATCCGCATTTCGATGCGAACTGTTGCAGAAATTTACAACTTTCGAACAAAATCGTTCTAACTTCACTGGTCTAATATAAGAAAAAGAATAAACAATGGGGCGATATCCTTTAGGTATGATGCATTGAATATCGAAATCAGATTTTCACTCAACGATGGTGGTAAATAATGAATCTGAAATTACGCAAAACTCATACTGTGCAAAGACATCCTGTAAAGGAAGCGTATGTGTAATCATTACAGCTTACAAGCTGTGTAACCATTTTTAAATTTTAATACAATAGGTAGTGAAATTATATAATTCCTAATTAGATATGCGAAATCAACCATCTGGATCAGCCGCAAGGCCACGTGCCAGTACAGATACTGACCTTACGCCGGCCCTGAGATTTGAGAAACAGAACGGCTGCCACTGACACTTGACAGTTATCTTCACCAGTGACACCTCCTATTTTCACTGCTTTCTGGATTAATCTGTCACTTGTCACATTACAACCCCTTCCGTGTAATATACTCTTCGTTATTAAAATGATTGATTAATTATAACTTGGTCAAATTTATAAATAAAATATAAGTGAAAAAGAAGATAACGCAACACTTAAACGGATTCGGCATGTTAAATAACGCATGAATCTGCTTTATTTACATATGGGGAAATAAAGGTAGGTTATATTTTAATTTGTAAATAAAATTAGTACCAATCTGTTGCAGGTCATGGGAATAAACAGTAGCAAAAGGCTAGCTGCAAAGTGCTCTTTTCTGTCGAAAGATGAACAAATTATTGTTAGCAACTCATTTAAGCTTGCAAGTAAAAATTCAGATAAAATTAAAGAGGAAGAAATAACGGTGAGTGCCTTTTCGGTATGCAAATGTCTAACCCTTAAGCTAACTGTTTAGTTTCTTACGTATTCAATCCATGCAAATAAAACTTGTTTAACTTTTGAATTATTAAAGACATTACTCCACTGTAAGACGTGTGAGTTGTATTATGAATAGTATTTCTATGACTGTGTATTATCTTTTAGCTTGAACTTGCATATTCAATACGTTCAAGTCAAAAATAAAAAATAAGTTTTATTATCTCAACCTACTAGATACTGTTGTGGAAAGACCAAGGAAATACTTTACAGTAGAGTCTTATGTTCAGTCAGTCAGTCAGTTAGGACCTGTTGGAATAGACAACCTTGATTGGTTAAAATTCAAAGATTATCCAATCAAGTTTCTTAATTTTTATTAGGCTATCCATGCTAATAAAGTGTAAATTTGAAATATGCGCATAAGTTCTTAATGTAATTATTAATAATTATCACCTGTATGTGACTGAAAGTAATTATTCAAACATGCCATTCAACTTGATGTATGTGTGCAAAGAATTAAGATTGTTAGAATACGGTGGCTTAACAAGCCTGAATGAAAAATAAGTGTTGCTATGTTACAAAAAGGGAGACCAAAGCACAAAATCACGGGCCGTAAAATAGAAAAAGTGTAGTAATTTCAGGAAAGAATATTTTAATCCATGCTGGTGAGAGCACGAGACTGTCACTGCACTGTGTGTAAATCACTCATATACAGTGTGTAAAGCGATGGGGTATACAAGAGGGAATTTTTTTTAAAATATTGATTTATGAAACAAATTTATTCTTCATGATATTTTTTGCTTGCTTTGAAAGTACCAATGACGTTTCGATAATCTAAAATTTATTTATAAAAATCTGGAAAAATAATAAAATTAATTTTTTTAATTGAAAGTTATCATTCTACATTATAATCAAGATAGCGTATTGCTATCAAACTTTCAATTAAAAAAATTAATTTTATTATTTTTCCAGATTTCTATAAATAAATTTTAGATTATCGAAACGTTATTGGTACTTTCAAAGCAAGCAAAAAATATCATGAAGAATAATTTTTTTTCATAAATCAATATTTATAAAAAAAATTCCCTCTTGTATATGTACCCCATCGCTTTACACACTGTATATATAAAAACCAAGAAGGGGGGGGGGGGGTACATTACTCACATACATCGCAACATTTTTGCATTTCTTTTTTCCTTGGTTTGGATACAGGGTGGATCTTAAAGATGGAACCAAAGCTCCCACGCTCAAACCGTTTGAGATATAGAACCGAGTATAGAACGCTTCCGTTTGAAATCATTTGACATACTTTTGAGGTTAAAAAATATTCTTTTGACACATGGTGTGAGTGCGACCGCCATCTTGAATTTTTTTAAATGGCAACATAGGTCATGTGATACGTCATTAGAAAGTTTATTTTTTTCTTTCTTACTACCTACATATAATAAATTATAACTACAATACAAACAAGATTGAATTTAAAATAGTGTTATTTGATATTAGTTAATTGTGTTTTATTATTTATTTTGTATTGTAGTTTTGTCAAGGATTTAGTAATGCAATGACTGGTTTACGTCTGATATGGTTTTTTTCCCTTAAATTGCGGGTAAAATTAAGCAAAGCAATGAGTCAAATGCAATGAATTTGATCATTCGCATTAGGAATAAGTTTTTCGAAATTGTGTCGTAATTGATATCTATATAAATAAAAATGGATCGCTGAAATGTATGTATCTGCATCACTTCCGAGATAATTCTTTTTTGTTGTGTTTTGTTATTATTAGGACAAGGTTTGTATAAAAGATAATTTCCAAAAACTGTACGGAAAGACGCAAAAAAATAATTGTTCTCTTTTCATGTTAAATCGCAATATAACTAATAGAACCACCGACTTGATTGATATTTATTTTCCATTTACTTGCGAGAGGCGAAAAAATAGACGGTTAAACGTAAACGGGAACAGGAAAAAACAGGATTTTATGTTTTAAAGTCGAAAATAAACTTTAGAACGTAGGTTTCTTTTAAGGCACTAAGGTGTACTCTGAAAAAGAGACTTCCCGACGTTCCCACGGGGTTGTCAAAATGTTTACGTTGTTGTTAAAAATGTTTTCTATGTTCATATTTAGTTGTTAATGTTTAAATTGTGTTCGTGTTTAAAAACCTATAATATACATCATTAAAAACTACAGTTGCCAGAAATTAAAAACGTTTGAAGGTTGAATGCGCACTCATCCTTTTTCAAATATTTTAAGCGCGGTGATTCGGACAAGGAATTTAGTGATTAATTAATTTTACTTAGTAACTTATTATATGTATTAATAAAAAATACCATAAGTACAAATACCTTCGTTTTTTCCATAATTTACGCCGCCGCCGCTGATAAGTAATCTGAAGCTATTGAAGTTCAACGACATCACCTGCGCGACCTGAACCGTTCTTTCTTCGTGGCAGCTGTACATTTATGTACCACTAAAAATTTTATCGCTTGATAAAAAAGATTCTTTCTGTCTTTTAAATAAAATTTTAGGTTTTATGTATAGGAAGATATTAAAAATGTTTCAGAATTTGTAAAAATTTTTGAATTTAATTTTATAGGTTGACAAAAAAAGATTAGCAATATATTAAAAATACAGTAAAAATTACCAGCTGTACACTTTTTACAAAAAGGTAAAAGAGAGATTTTAAGAAACACATATGAATATTTTAAAAAGATCTTTGAAATACGTTTCGAAATTTGTGAAAATTTTCGAGTTTATACACAAATGATCGAAATACTGCTCCAGCACTTACTTTAGATAATGGAAAAAATTTTTAGATTTATCCTTATACATTTTTCCTTTATCTAAAATAACAGATTCCTGAATCAGTTGTTCGATCATTTGCTATAAACTCGAAAATTTTAACAAGTTCACAACTTTTGAAACGTATTTCAAATATCTTCCTAATGTTTTTTTCATATTTCTTGAAATTGTTCTTCTATCTTTTTCTAAAAAAGGGTACGGTTTGTGCGAAGGTGTCATAAGTAACCTGCACTATTTTTTTTACATCCGCGTGGACGGGGGGAAAAGTCTGGGTGGTCTGTCACTGGCGAATAACTTACAACAGAATTACGGCACACGGAAACGGTAGCGATGTCCAAAAGCGGGAACGGAAGCACAACTTAACTAAAGGTATCTTAACGGGAAACAAAACAAAGCAGGTGTCAGGAAAGCAAAATTTCCTAAAAGTATCCACGCGTGCTTCACCAATCGCCTACCTCCCTCCCTCAATGTGGAGAAATACCAAAATGGCTTTTGCATTGGAATTATTTACTCTTTAAATCACTGTATGGAAAAGCTTTTATTTATGTGAAAAAAGATGTATAAACATGGCCACCAAATTTTGACATCTTTAGGTCAAAAGGTGACGATCAAATAAAATGCATAAAAGTCACCTCATTGGCATCCAAAGAGAGCCTTTGGGCGAGAAATTAGTGCATAAATAACTTGACGAAAATATACATGATTATTAAAAGATCATAAAATAGTCTTTTTGTGCATCAAGGCATTTGGACATATTTCCACCCAAAATTGGTACATAAATATGGGCTGTGAACTGTATTAAATCAAAATTCAAGTGGTTTTCTTGACTTCGTTAAAAACTGCGCGAAAAACATGAAAATAAATTGGTTTTTTTTTTTAGAAATTATGGGGTTCTCAAATGGACGCTCGATTATTACAATACATTAACAACTACCTATTCGGGAAAGGAGAGATGCGGTCACAAACCGTCGAGTTGGAAAGATACGCCGAGCTGTTTGTTTATTGTACTCGTGGAACTGTCGACGAAAAATTAAAAGTTTTATTGCAGTCCTTGGGTAGGAATGATTCGGAAAGTGATGATGTGCCATATATTTTAGTTAAAGAGGTAAAGGACCGAGTTAATGTGGAGCATAATGTGCATTTCTAACATTTTTTCAGTATGTCGAGAGCATAGTGTCATCGTACATGAAAATACAAAAGTTAGTAAATAAAAAACAATTTAAAAGTTGGCATTCGCGCGGTTGCTTTATTTCCCCGCAGAACGTCCAGCGGCTGGCAGAAAGTCTTGCGTATCAATTGGCGTCGGGCGATTGCATCACAAGAAGGGCGTTGGAGGTTTGGCTGCAGGGATCGACGATATTCGGTCAGCTTTTGTTGTTTGTGTTCACGCACTTGTACAGTATTTCACATCGAGATAAAACGATACAGAACGAACGTACAAATATTTCGCAGTGTACAATTGAAGAGCCGAACACTGAGTGTAGTAAGACACGCAGTCTTGTGCCATTTTGTAAAGGATTAGATTTAATTCCTTCGTTTCCTAGTATACTCGATTTAAGTCAATTAGTTTTTATTAACGCTCATTTACCTCAACAGTACCAGTTAGAGTGGAGATTTCTATTTTCTTCCGAAATTCATGGGGAGTCATTTTCAACTTTAATAGGTGAGCTTTATTATTTATTAATGGAGGACGCCAGCAATCGCGTTTTGACAAAAACTAGTAGTATACTAACCGTCGCTCTATCACTTTTGCACATTGCAGTCGACCTCTATTCTAAAAAAAAACGGTTTCTAAGTTCAACTCTTTGGTAACCACAATTGTTATCTGCAGGTCGGATAGTGGATCAAGGTCCATCCGTGCTTGTAGTTGAAGATCGAAACGGACACATGTTCGGTGGTTTTGCTCCAGCAAATTGGTCTCTTGGACCTAAATTTTTTGGTGACGATAGCAGTTTTTTGTTTACTTTGGCGCCTCGAATGCGCGTCTTTCCATCAACCGGATACAATCAACATTTTCAATATCTTAATCTACATCAACAAACCTTGCCAAATGGATTGGTAAGTAGAGAATACTATAGTGTAAATAATCGAATAATGAGAGGAAGGGAGACTATTTTAAAGGAGGCGGAGCACTCATGAATTTTGAAAGTGACTGATGTTACAGATCTTTAATATAAAATTTCCACCCTTAAACTACACCTGTAAAGGTGACGCTTTTCGCAAGTTACATTAAAGAAGTAATATCCTTTTAATAAGATGTATTTTTACATTTATTGGTGGGAAACGTTTTGTGTATGACAATAAACAGAGAAAAGGTTTTTAAAAATTATTTTTATAATGTAATATTCTCATCTCTCACTTTAACAAAGAAAGACAAAGACCCCGAAAATAATGTTTCTCTGTTATTGTTTTTTTACGGTAGGTATGTCAATTGAACTATCACATTCTGCATACTGAAGGTTATATTGTGCTGGTTTACCTACTAGAAATTAGACTGTGATAAAAATTACTACAAGGTACATGATGAAAACAAAATATATTCACCATTGATTAAGGTAGCAGACTCGTCTGCCATTTTGTAGCCCACTGACAGTCCAAATGTTTGCACAGAAAAACTGTTTAATGTGTAAAATCTTACCTTAAATATGCATTAATGAACGTTAAAATGCAATGGTTTTTTTTAAAATGGTAAGACAAAACATGCGGGACATGCAACGTTTTGCAAATATCAGTTGGCTACAAAATGGCGGACGAGCATATGGACTAAGCTTACGGACGAGTCAGCTGTGGTAGTAGCTATAGTATTTACTGTAATTTTAAATTCGTATTTTCGCATTGACCCTCAAGCCCATGGTCATAACCTGTCTGTGTACCAAATTTGAGCTTTTATTTCAAAAGTGTTTTTGACTTTGTATTTTCAATCTATTTCCAACGCCTGGATATTCCGTGTAATTGTTCAAGAGTTATACAAGGTTAAATCAAAATTATAACTAATACGAGTATTTTAATAATCAAGCAGTTCAATGTCAATAGTTAAATACCTTGAAAGATTAATATTAATGAAAAATCCATTTATTAAATTGACTGTAATATTTTGAAGCCCATGTACGTGACTTTATGTTTAATTAAAGTAAAACTAAAGCTATGCCACAGTTAAGTAGGGTTATTTTATATTTCGCCATTTAATTTTTTTATATGCATCTTAAATTCTTTGTCAGTTTTTGTTTATAATTAGTTTGTCTGTCTGGTTTTATGTTCAACATTTTTGTATATTTCATGTGATATATGGCAATGACTTTATTTTGAAATTATGATGATGATGGTGAATAAGTCAAGTATACATTGATTAATGTTAAGAGTTCGCATCTATGACCACATTCCAATCAATCAAGTTTGTGTGTTCTATTAATGCATGTGCTATAATGGACGTAGTAATAATCATTGACTTGTTTCTGATGCACATGAAAGCTTAATAACTTTGAATTCCTACACATGCGAACATTAATTAATCTGAACTGAAATAAAAGGAAACCGATTCAATAGTTACGTGTGCTGTAATTGCGCTAACACACAATATGTTAATAATTACCTTGTGGTCAAAGAGTTCTAAAATTTTATTGTAATTATTGTGATGAAGATAAATCACCAAGCGACGAAGGACGTCCCGAAAAATATAGCAGGCTTGGCATAGAGAAGTTTGTTTTTTAGAAACAAAATGGAAGTTTTTGACAGTTTTGAAAATCTATAATTATTGCGGTGAAAATAAAAAAAACACGTAGTTCTAGTGACAGCAGCAGTGGGATAAGTAAAAATCCATTGACAGTGTGCTGAAAACCGCTGGTTTCGTATACCTTCACAAAAAAGACCATGTTGGGATCAAAAGAAGGAATTGTATGAAATATACGGGGTGCCGCGAAAAGAGTTGTGAGTGGTTTACATAAACTATAGTTTGAATCCGAGGGAGACTGTGTGTTGTACCCAAGTCGACAGCTCAATCGCCATCAAAAGCGTGAAAAACACGTACTTGGAAAAGCAGAAGCTGTAACATTGGAAAACGCTAAACACATTTTACATCTCATCTACAATGTACAAAAATTAACAATCCCAGGAAGTGACTTTTGAATTTGAATAATTTAAATCTGACGTTAACATTTGATAAGCTACAAAATGGCCATCTCAAGTAGATTCAAAGGAAACTCCAAACCTTCCCCATTTGTGAATTAATAACATTCGGAAGTCTCTTACATACAGTACATGAAATACATTGTTAGTTAGCCAGATCTCGTCCAGTCCAGAAGGTATCCGAAGGTCCTGGATACTAAGCTTGTATTTCGAGATGATTGCCGCTAGGTATTTTTATCACTCCGGCATCTACCTCTGCACTGCACGGGAGATAAAGGTAAATTACACTTAAAAAGGCAGATTCGTGCACAAGGAATTGAAGTCACTAATCAATCCAAATGAGTTTAAACAATCAAATCAACATTAATAATTGGTCAATGTCAAACAAATCAAAATAGGAATAACATTCACATTGATGGCAAATAAAACCAAATTCAAGAATCACTTACACCTGAGTAAGTACTAAGTCCATTACCGTTACCCTTTTGAAATGGCAAATGGTACAAATCTTAGTTGAAAATTGACAAAGATGGAACAAATTGAACTGAACTTACTGGATGCAAAAGCAAAAAGCTAATTGAAGACAGTTTCCTTCCTATAGAGACAAAGGGCGAGTGCAACTTCTTTATACTTAATAGTTAAATCTTAATTCGTAATTCTTATAAATTAAAAAGATAAAAGTAGAATGGCTAATGATCGCGTTTCTCCAATTTATTAATTGCTAATTCGTATGTAATATTCTTAGTACACGACCTTGAAAGTTCCTAACTTTCAAATTTGAATTAACAATAATTGAGAATTGAGAAATCTGCACATGGCGCATGCACGATTGTTCCGACTTGTGTAAACTTGTGTTGGGAAATTAAGAGTTAAGATCTGTGCATAACGGAGTAGAAATAAAGAATTAAGCATTAAACTGTAAACATAAAGAAGTTGCATAAACCCGCTCTAACATTGTTTAAAATTGCTGATATAAATATTATCTGGCAGTTGTCAAATGACAGCTGGGTAAATCTCCAGCAGTGTCGCTATATACGCCAATGGTACTGGTCGTCTGAAATTTTGAAAGCATCCCAACTGTAAAAATCAGGAGAGCATAAAGTCGTTTTCGAGATTTACTTATTAGTAAAACTCTGAGGAAGAACAAAACGAAGTGAATACATTAAAGGGAATCTGACACAGGACGAATTGATAAGGAAGACTGTTAGATTACGTCAGATAAACACAATTGTTGAAACCAGTGATAATCATAACGAAGAAAATGACGGCGTATCTGAAGACGAAGAAGATTTATCAAGAAATACTGTGAGGATGGTAAATTTGAAAGGAAAAAGGAATCACACAAAAAGGCAAAAGTTTCCCACGCACAATGCCCTAATCGTGTGCGAATATCTATTGGACAATTTTCCTAGGAAATGAAAAAATGTTCGATAGGTATTCTCGCACGATTAGGGCGTTGTGCAAAGGTGCACCATCTGGCTGAAACCAACAGTTTTCAACATTTATTTTTTTTGTGTGTGCCGTACATCATGGTTTTAGTAATAACAAATGCTATTAAATACAATATGCACTATGGAAGTAATCCCTTTTTAAGATCCCCATGATAGACATCTTTCTCTTGGACACAGTGTATAATCCTAAGGGCCAATTGTAAGTATTCCAGTCGTAAAACGTAAGACTTGGAACACCGAAGAGAGTAGAGAGGTAGAAGAAGCTAGTCTGAAGATAAATAGTATTAGAATTGAACAAAGCGAATGGTTATTAACCATGAAACTACAAGACAAAAGGATCAAGGAATTGGCAGAGAAGCTTAACGTCCTAAAACCAATGAAGATAAACAAATATATAATAACTACTAAGATTGAGAATAATGGGTAATTCCGAAAGGTGGATGGAGTCATGGTACTGTAAATATGGATCACATTAGTCCTTTCGTGAAAAGTGCAAGAAAACAGCAGTACGTCCCAGTGTATCAAGACAATTTCACTAAGTATGTGTTACTTAGGTGAGTTCCGGCCACTAATACGACCCCAGTTTTGAAAATGTTCATGGAAATCATGGAACGCGACTGCAACACCACGTGCAAATGGGCAGGTAGAACGACAAAATCAAACTACTCACAGCTCTAACGACAATGTATGAAGATTAAGAGGGCAGGGATTGGGACTAGCGACTCCCGCAGATACAGTTTGCCATGAATGATGTGCAGGATCCATTGAACTAGATACTCATAACTGGAATGGCATCGCCCGTAAACAAACGATGCAAGGGCGCCGTGACAAGAGAGATAGATAGAGGTATGTAGGTATACCTCATCGTGTTGCACTCACGTGGTGTTTATGCGTTTTGCAAAACAATGTGCCAGACAAGGATGATTATACAAACAACGTGCCAAACAAGGATGAGGATACCTATCACAGCCTACGTTACGCGGCACGCGATTTTGGTTATCGATGCCGTTACAGAGTAGACAGTTCAATGGCAGGACCAAATTACAAAAACAACTGTAGTGCGTTCAGTAGTCAGCATGTCAGTTGACAAGAGATCATAGACGGTTATACCATAAATTATACGTACAACGCTCGAATAAATCCAGTTTTCTACCCTTCCGTTTTTCAAAATCTCGTTCCTAACCTCAAATATTGGGAAAATGAGATTAATTAATTAATTAAAATGCTTAAATTGTATCTTAAATTTACTTTTTACGTATTTCCGGTATTTGTCGATGGCGCGAAAGAAAAACACCCTACACTTTTAGATAGGCCTTGGAAAATTAAACAAATGAAACACGATGCATTATAAAATAATAACAGCCGTAATTTGTAAATTATTCTGTTGTGTTTACATCTTAGACCATATAGTACATGGACTGCCATTAGCCCCATGCTTGGGTGGTCATGGATACAGGGCACTGTAGTCGTGGGTATGTGAATCTCAGGGTAAAGTAGTCGTATGAACACCATTAAAATGCCGATTTCAAACCAAGAAGCATTTAATATGCTGACGATATATTTTGAGTGTTTTCAAAATGCGACCATCGGATTTTGGATCATAGTGTCAAAACTAGTCCCCTGGCGGAGACGGATTCAACTACATTAACTATATTTTGGTTGATTCTCGTTGGCCAAGGAATGCTCTTCAACGATACCAAATTTGTTACAATCGGTCAAACGTTTAAGAAGTTAAAGCAGGTTATTGCAAAAACAATTGAACGCCCCACGCCATCTTTGTTTTTGAAATAACTGAGTTTTTGTTTTTACGAAAATGATAGATAAACTGGTTCTCTTTAAAAATGTGAAAAAAGAATGTTTAGTTTATTATGCAAAATTTAAAGAAAATGCAATTTTAAAATTTAAGATGGCAGTTACGCCCTCTGGTGGTCATTTTTAGAACTTGAATGATATATTACTGATCATCAATCAAAGGAGGTTAAATTATAGGCTATGGGTGGTCAACATAATTACTGCGGACTATGGCTTGATCAAAATTATGGCGTTGGTCATACTAGCGAGACGTGCACGACCTATTCCGGTTATTCCCAAATGTCATATTCGAAGGAATTCAACTACCGGCATTTGGAAGTTTGGGGTTTAGGTTCGCCCCCGCCGACACCTCAGGAGAGAGGCGAACGTGTCGGAATGAGCGTTCTCGAGGGTAATCAGGAAAGTAAAGCGATGTTAAAGATGGCCGGTCGTACAATTCACAGTGAAGGTTTCAAGGAAACCGAAGCGCCAATTTAGAGATTAAAAATGATATTCTAATATTTCTTTTACGTCTTGGCTCTTGATCATTTTAGATATGTTTACTAGTCATTAAATTAAGTCCACGGCACTCAACATTCCTCGTTTTAAAACTGTGTCTCTTTTATAAAGTTATTGATATTTTTAATTGTATGAAACAAGTGTCTTGCAATTTAAATAACATCGTACTCCCATTCCGTGACTATTTTAAGCATAAAGGATGTTGTATTAATGTTTTTTATAATGACAAAAATTTTAAATGATCTAAGCACATAACAAATCTAGGATTATAAGCCATTGTTTTATATTCCAAGTGTTGTAAAGCACCATTCGTAATAAATGGCACAAGGGTGTTTGCATTATGTTTTAATGGTCGACTGTGGGAAACATGATCAAAGAATATACGCTTCTTTTCTAAAGCATATTCTGAAAAATTAGAACATTTCAATGACCACCCTTGTACCATGAAAACTGATACGCACACTGCTGGTGGCTTACTAGGTTTGAGATGTACTTTTCTAACTAGATTATTATAGAGGAAGAACCAACAGTTACATGGCTAACGTTATTTCTGTAAGCTTTACCTCGCTTTTCGTAATGGTGTGCACGACTCTCCTCACTTCTTGGCTTACAGGATTAACGTATGCATTGTGATCGAAGGTTTTTAGTACAATTTGGGCTTTGTAATAATGGTTTAATAAGTATAAAATGCATTTTTTTACCATAGTGCATCGCATAGATGAGTTTTTGTGATTTCAATAAAGAATGTTACGTGAATTTTGTGAACTATATTTTAAGTCATGCTCAAAACTGCATATGTTTATGTTGTTATGACCGATATAGATTTGATGTAACAATATTGATATGTTATACGCTTTATTAATTAGAAGAAATATAAATTATTTGTTGTTACTTTGTATTTTTTGCACAAAGATTTGTTCAATAAAAAACACTTCATTACATGAAATGTTTGACTCAGTTTGTGTTCGATGTACTTTCTGGATTACGATAGGAGGGTGGACACGGTCCTAGGCCTCAAATTTGGGCCCTCTACTGCCTCCCTGACGAACCTAAGGATACTGGAAGGGCTCAAATCATGCAATTTGTGACACATCTTTGGTGCAATAAAACCCTTCTGTTACAAGGAAGATGGAAAATTACATGGCTTTGAAGAGCAAACTCGACATAAACAACATGTCATATGTGAAAATTAGTGAATCGCACATGGATTCTAAACCGGAGAGTTTTTGCTAGCAGGATCTCGCCCCCGAGGTAGGTAATTTGCCCTTCGTCCAGGGAGTTTAAACCTACAGTTGAGAATAGAGGTGAGTTCAGGCGTTAGGTGGTGCAACTAATGTGGTTATACAGTTAGTTGCCACCCCTGTGATCGCCTCATTGACGGCGAAAATGTTAGTTTACAAGTACACATCATATACACATCAAATAATTGGATGACTTCCACTTATTTCAAAGAACGATCAAAATTTATATGATTCAGGTCAAGACCATGTAATCAAAACATAAACGTAAATTGGATAACATTTACATCAAAAGACAAAGATTTGAAAACAATCAAGGTTAACGGTATCTCTCATACGCGTGATGCAATGAGATTGAATCAAATCAATTTCAAAAACAAGGATATTATAAAACGTTGCATAAAAAACACAAATACAATATAAAGCAATGCAAAGATTATTACATACATCAAATAACAACAAACAAACTACAACACGATGCTTTCTTATTGACCGCCTAAATCAAGATCACAACCGTAACCAAAGTTGGTCTCCGGGACGGCGCAGAGGCCTTTGAAGCCTGTGTGATGTTGTTCTGCATGTTTCGATTTAACTATTCCTCGGAGGGCGAGTACCGCATGCAGTTTGATTCCCGGCTGCATATGGGTCATCTAATTTGATGTTTCTCTATATGAGTAGTTAATTATTTCCGCGAAAGAGGACCTAATACAGCCCGATTCTTTGCTGTATCAGTTGCTTTCTTTCTGGTTTAACAGTAAGAAAAGGGGGTCTTTTAATTAGCCTTTCTTTATATTAGTTAATATGGTTTTACTTGTGCGATAATAATAGACTTTAACATTAATACTTACTGTATTGGCGTCCTCATATGTACTTTTCGTCTTAAAGTATGGTAATCGAGGCTGAGTCACGCCATTTTGATGTTTTTTATGTACATGCAATTTATCATTTTACGAGTTGTTTTATCTCAATCGTACATGTGTTTTAAAGTGCGTTTGTACTAAATCCTGTTTTCCACTTGCATTTATGATGTCTCGTTACTGTAGTAATGTGGATTGTAAAATAACGATTTGTAAGTTACATAAAAAACGGTTATATTACGCGTAACTTACACGAGGTCGGTTTTTTATGTAATTTATGTCTTTTATGAAATTTACGTAACTTACGTTTTTTATTTAAAAAACCGTAATTTTTTTAAGTTACATAAATGTAATACCTATTTGATACATTTTGATCGGTACTACCACAGACCATCAACGGTACTACCAACGTAAACGATTCGCACCGTTGAATCTACTTTGGTTTGATGATGAAGATACAGCATCTAATTGACGCGATCTGGAACTTCTTCCTCCAAACGACGCGTGATTGCGAAATACCTACTGCTTGGGTATTTTATTTAATACACCAAAATATATAATTTAACAAGTGTTTTTGTTTTCAAACACTCACAAAATCAAAAAGGTTTATGGAATATTTAAAAAAATATAAAAAACATAAATGACAGATAATTTTACAAAAATATTTGTAAATTACGTAAAAAACATAAATTACTGGTAATTTTACTGTAAAATTGCGGTTGTTTTTTTTAAAATGGTAAATTACATAAAAAACATAAACAATTGGTAATTTTACACGTAATATTACGCACTGTAAAAAAAAGTGTAATTTAACATCATTATATACTCGTTAGCCATGTGTTTCGTTTTTATGAATTTGTTTAACTGCATTTGATTGGATTAGGTACCTGACTGTAATATATCTTATTTGTTCTTGTCATTTCTTACGCACAAACTTGTGCATTTTATTCAATTCCCTTCCCGATTATGTTTCATGCACCAATACATAAAAGAAGCATATACCTACGCAACGTAGCACCGTTGAGTGAAGGATCTAGATCCTTCACTCAACGGTAGCACCTTTTCCTGCTACGCGGTCCTACACGAGTGTTACCGAGATTTGAAAGTGCCACCAAACTTAATAGCAAATTCAATTCAGGCAAGTTCCCAATTTTCATTTTTCATTTCGGTAAAAATACTACTGATATTCTGAAATTTTTATGAGACGTTCTTGAAGCGATTTCGCATCGATTCTGAAAAAAGGGGACGTGGGAGATTTCGTTGGGCGGCTGGGGAGCGTGATCGTCGAGGTGCGCGCATGCGGTTAAACATTCGCCATATCTATACGGTTCGAGTTATACCGGCTCGGGGGGGATAGTTGGCGGAACTTTCGGCGAGATTGAACACATTCGTAAAAATCGATAATTTTGAAAAAAAATTCGTAGCTTGAAAAAGAGACGTAGCATCCGATTCCGATTTTCTGGAGATTTGGTCAAAAAATTACTACTCACTTGGTGTTGCAATTTCCATGCCACTGAGTATAGTAACGGGCGATCAAAAATGAGTAGCTGTCGAGTCGCCTTTGGAATTTCAAGTTAAGTACGATTTCCCATGGGAACAAAAATTCCAAAGGTGACTCGACAGCTATGATTATATACTACTGGATAGCGCATTCACTTAAAATGTATGTTCCAAAAAAAGAGATATTATGTTTGTACCAAATCATGCGCATGCTTACGGTATAAACTTCGCGCGGGAATAAACGGACTGTTGAAATCGTTACATCTATTTTCGGAGTAAACATTTACCTTCACGTTAATTGCATATTATGAACTATTCTCTTTACAAACATAAAAACTACGTAGAATTACCACGATTAATTAAAGGTAGAGCCCAAATAACGTATAAAGCAAATAAAAAAGCAAAGCAAAGAATCAGCTGTTGTTATACGGACAACACCATTAGTTTCCGGTTTATTAACGCCTGGCATTCGCAATTCGAATTGGTACAAACTTCTTCTTTTATCTCATTTCTTTTCACTGAAAAATTATAGCTATCTGGGTTGCACGAATTGGAACACGGGTTGTACTCTTCTATCATTAAGAATGCGTTATCCAAAGTATATAATCAAAGCTCGACAGCAACTAATTTTTGATCGTATAGTATAAAGGGCCAAATCTGAGGTCTAAGTGCGACTGAGTAAATGTGTATGCTTGAGAGGTTCCACCCTGTAGATACAACTTATGACGATGCGCACATCACAGATAGCGATATTCATCAAGAGACAAAAAATGCTTGCAAGTAAACCGTCTATCAGTGTCTAAAAATTCAGAACCGTCAAAATAGTAGTTAAAAAGTTTTAGACCTCTTCAGATGTGGATGGTCAGTATTTTACCACCTACATAGCAACTTCAATCAAAACGATGATATCACAAAGACCCTTTTTACATTAGACATTCACATCCCGAATTTCATTTTAATCGGCAAAACCATTTTCCGATAAAATAAAAATATCGATTTTTTTTTTTAAATCTTTGGCGGTAGATAGCGCCTTACCGAGGCACTTTTGGATAGAGGTAAGTTGGGTTAAATCGTCCTATTTTGATACTAAGAACCCCTGGTAGCGCGTTGTACAGACCTTTTAGGGACACCCTGTATATGTTAACACGTTTTTTCGCTCTGCGCTTACTTGTGATGTGAAACATTTTTATGCGCGAAGACGCTGCGCGAGTTTTATTTAGGAACAACATCAAAGGTGCGACATGAAGACAAACTTCTCTATAGCCTCTTTGCTATAGCATAGCGTATACCCTATATTCTGTGGCATTTTCATTTTAGCTTTCGTCACGAAAGCGTTGTCCAGTTTAAGTTTGTATATTTTTGTGTTGTTTAATGAGAATAGTAATCTTATTGCATTTCCTTGTAATTTATTTGTGATTTATATGCAACATTTTATGTTTTTTTTATAATTTTCCATCTTTGTTTTCGAAAACGACATGATTTAACCTCAATGCATCATGTGTATAAACAAATGCCGTTATTTTTTTTTGGTATCGTTAATGTTTTTGGTGTAAATTTTTACCCAACTTATGTTTGAGACGGTTGCGGGGGGTGGTAAATAACTGTAACCATATTGAGTTATGACACCTAATGCCGGGACTGTTCTCGACTATATGCATGGGAACCGCAACCATGCTTTAAAGGCTGACACACACTTATCGAACTTTTCCCTTTCTACACCATCCCTATGACGCCACCAAACACAGCGAGATCCTGCCTTATCAAATTAAACATTAAACATTTCACCATTGATCCTTGGACTTGTAGCTTATTATTCCACATTCTCCATGTCACAAGCGCAGTCTCTTACATTTACAGTATCTACAAACTGTGTCGAATGACTGAGTGGGACACCTCTGTTTAGTACAAGGACTGTGAGTCGAGTACCTGGGGATAAAGGCATATAAATAAAGCTATTAGAACACAATATCAAACAAATTTTTACTTAGGCATGATTTAAATGAGTTTTAACAATTCATTAGGCTACTTTTAACATTTTACACAGCCATAGCTCTCCACTCTTGTTTCTAAACTGTGCTCAATCATAGTGCACACTCCCACTACGTTACAGTTTAATAATAATAGTTTACAGAACCACAATTGGTAAAACAATTTGCTACTTTACACAAATAATGTGAAATTTTTGGCAGTCTCAATTATAAGCTAGTTGTACATAGGATTAAGCTGTTGTGTGCAACGTATAAAAGTTGCACGTCGAGGTAGTTCCTTCAATTTTGCTGCGCCGGTGTATGTACAAGCACTACGTAGTCCACCTAATATGTCTAATACTGTAGCATCTACATTGCCTTTATAAGGAACCTCCACAGTCTTTCCTTCCGACGCTCTGTAATCTGCTACGCCACCTATAAACAACTACACTAAGTAGAGTTATACAAGTGCGTATTCTTACCAGAATGTTTCTCCATAGCAACACTTGAAGACATGCCATAGAAAAGTTTGTATTTTTTGCCGTTCTTTTCTATAATTTCCCCATCGCATTGGTCATGACCGGCAAACATTCCACCCGCCATTACAAAATCGGCACCGGCACCAAACGCCTTCGCAATATCACCTCCACATGTACAGCCTCCGTCCTAAAACCAGATATATGCGCAATGACTAAAAATATATCAAATGAACTTACGGATATTATGTGTCCCTGCAAACCGTGAGCGGCGTCAGCACATTCAATAACGGCAGATAATTGAGGATAACCGACACCAGTTTTCATTCTGGTAGTGCAGACAGAGCCAGGTCCAATTCCCACTTTGATTATATCGGCTCCGGACAAAATTAGTTCTTCTACCATCTCACCAGTTACTACATTTCCTGCCTGAAAGCAGAAGAATTCTGTTGTAAAACCACACTACACTATCTATTACTTAGGTAACATTTTGGTATAATACTGAGACAACCAACAGGTGGCAATAAAAGAATTTATTGTTGTCATATTTTAAAAGGTAATAAAGACAGGGGGCTAGATGGAATACTCTCCGCACAGAATCAGTAATAACTCGGGAAGAAAGTGACCAATTCAAAAAATCGTTTGTCGTTCTGGTCTTGGGGTTGTGCTACCCACTGTATATAAGAAAGAAACCACAACACTTACACTGGAGGACTAGTAGTGGTACAAACGGACAAAGTGCGGGCAATATCGTTCAAAGGAAAATGCGCTAAAAACTAAGAGCGCTCATAATGGATCACTGCCCATTAGCCCACCTACTACGATCTTCCTTCTGCATTATGTGTTGCCTGACAATCGGGCGCCGATGCCAGCAATTATTTCCAGGAAACCCTAGCTGCGCGAGGAAGCGTTTCCGTTCCAGGGTGTATTGGTGAAAATGGTTCACATCACCCAAATTAATGACATCTTTAGCTGGTTAACCCTGTCTAATTAATGTTTAATTGCGATCGTAATTCGAGCGTTGCTTTTATCTTGCTGATAATCTTCAAGCTGGTCACCTAAATTTATCCGGTAGGTAATTAGAAATCCATAATCAAAATCTTTAATTAGTGATTGAGATTAATTTTACGTAGTTTCCTTTTTGGTAAAAGTAAAACGATTTAGACGTGTACAGTCCTTAAACTACCCACCCTTTGCAAAAAATATCAGGAATTTAAAATGGTGGCTATAAATATTCATCTTGTGGCTCCTATATCTAAAAGTATAACAAATTAATGTTCGATACGCATCAAACAAATTGTGATTCTAATATTTAGTTTTGACTTGATGTCCGGTTTTCTTCCATATTTTAGATACTGGAACAGAGTCGATGAATGATAATGTAGTGCGCGGAGGAGCCAAGATTATCGACTATAATGTGGGTTTGGGGCCTTCAGAGGGTAAACAATCTAAAATCTCTCCTAGGCAATTTGTTTACATTAGGCAATTTTTACGTAATGAAAATTAAAGAGTTTTAAATATATTCGCAAGTTTAGCGCACATTTATAGTACTATCTGTTCTAGTATTTAGCGCATTTTTTAAGAATTAAAAAAATTTGTTGGGGGGGGGGGTTAAAAAATTATTTTCTTTCATTGTACTCTAATTAAAGGTCTCAACGAAAGGAACCGTTTTCTACCCTTTTCTCTGTCCTCTTATCAAAGTACGAGGGGGAGGGAGGGGGGAGTGGAACTAGTTTTATCCTTCTTGGCACTCTAATCAAAGGTCTCAACGAAAGTTTCTACCAATTATAGCTCTCCTCCTCGACCTCTTATCGTGATCGGGTACATTCCCGTATACCTCAACAACGATTGTCGGAAGAGGGTTAAAAAAAATGCGCTTTATCTGCACAAGATTTGTGCACAATTTATACCAATTGGTTGTCGTATGTAAAAGTTATGCACGTTTTACATTCAAAAACAGCATCTCAGGAAATAATTCGTGGGGGGGGGGGCCTTTTAAACAGCGAAATTTGATGGCCGTCTGGCACACCTTCAAGGTATAGGCTACCTACTGCAAAAAATTCCAGGACTCTAGGACCATTCCCCTAGAAGTAGTTCGAAACGGCAGAAGTGGGTCCGGACGGACGGACAAAACGCAAACAATAGCACATTTTTTTTAATTCTTAGAAAATGCGCTAAAAATTGAAACTTAGAATTTTTGTTATCTCGTAGGTACACTTCCGGTATCTGCTACAAATAAAAGTCCCAATATTGACCTAAATTAATAATTGGAGATCCGAGTGTTCTCTAAGAACTTCCGAAAATTCCACACAATTTACTACGCAAATTTTCATCAAATCAGGAGTACGAAAAAATCTGACATTCTATCCGGGTCGCACAATGAGTTCGAATAAACAGAATTAATTGACTGACAATAACCAAAATGTATTCCGAAACACATTAAATGAAAAAAATTAAAATAAATTCCTAGATTAGAAATAGAAGCTTACAAAGCTTATTTAAACACATTACCCCGCACGCACGCGTTCAATAAATTTAAAAAAAATTAAATACAGTATTTTTTCTTCTAAATAATCCAACCAGTGGCGGTTTCTCAATAAGTGCACATGAGCACGTGCACTCCCAAAAATCATTTTAAAAAAACGAAAACAATAACAATTCTATTTATGTATTTAACATTCTTGCACGTTCGTATCTCGCAATAAAAATAGTTCACTTATCTTATCTGTAATGCAAAACCTAACGGTACACTGACACACCGCTGAACGTGTATTAAGAATTATTCCCATTCCGCCTTCCTGTGCAGTGCACGATTAGCTACGATCTCTGATTCGTTCAAACGCTACGTCGCCTTTCCCCGTGCGCCCCGCGAAGGTCCAAGTTGTAAAGTATAGCAAGAGCACACTCTCATTGTGTACCAGTATTCGCTGGACTGCGAAGTAGAGCGTGTTGATCGTTTCGGTTTTAACAAGTAACGTTGCGACGTTACCGTTCATTATTTAAAGACAATTATTAAATTTAATTTACTAAAATTAGAAGATCAAATTAAAATAAAAAATGCGGGTCGCCCAAAACCGAGTTTGGAAATATCGAAAATCAATAAAGGAAGAATAAACGATCGTTTAAAATAGACATGTATGAAAAACCTGACTGGTTATGCGGTTGTACCTTTAACAATAGTCTATTGTTTTCCGTGTTTGTTGTTTGGTGATGAGCTCGGTGATGAGGCATCAGAATGGACAAAGAATTGCTTTACAGACTTGGCGCATTTATCCGAAAAAATTAAAAAATATCAATCTTCAAAGGCACATCATATATCTGCTAAATTGAGATTTAATTTATTAGGTAAGCAAGATATAAGGCAGCAGTTAAATAGTGCATACCGTTTGAGTATCGAAAAACGTAATGAGGAAGTAAAAAAGAACAGGTATGTTTTATCCAAAATTATAGACCGTATAAAATTTTGTGGTGCTTTGGAACTTTCTCTCCGCAGCCATCGACAAATCGAGAAAATTCAAATCAATCAAATCAATACGCTTTTTTATGCCATTTAATAGGCCCAAAAAACTTCGTGTTGCAGTGACACTCAAAAAATTTTCGCCTCCGGCTTTTTGCCCGTGGCCCCATTTTTAAATTGTGCACCCCCAAGACACACCACTACGCGCCGCCACTGAATCCAACTAATCTGGCCGTGAATGGTTAGCGATATTCAGACACACTTATCAAAGACACAAAAACACTCGCTCAAGCAACTTCACTGTGTCTTTAAAAACTGGGCTCGATAACTAGAACCAGCTTAATAAACAAGGTGAAAAAGATTCTCGGACGCTGCTCTGACGGTAGAACCTTTGAACTTTCACTAAGCAAACTGCTTTTGATTACTCCCAGTCGTTCTAACTTTTTCTGTATAGGGACACAAACTTTTACCACTTCATTGGACGATAATTTAAATCTTTTATTAAGACTGATTAACTCCTTTTACACACATTTCGAAACTGACTAACTTGCATCTTCAAAAAAATTAAAAGCACCAAACGCCTCAAATTACACGCTCTTTATACCGTCGCTAACAACAGCAGCCTCATTTTTACCTTGTCTCGCATATTTAAGGGAACCCCATCATGGAATAAATTCCTTCCTTCAGTATTTACAAATAATGCGCCAATACAATTAGGTTAGATAACACCGGCTGCGGAGGAATGCGTCTCCACTTACGCCGAAAATAATGGGCACATCGTTGGCCATCTGCATCTCTTGTTATCAGCACCATAACATGTGCGCTATTTAAACTCCGATGACAAAACTTCTTATTGCAAACCAACCAGATGTGCCTACATTTTAACACGCAATTTCACGTTACACAATTAAATACCTACAGCAAATCTAAATAAACAATTTACACAAAATTATGCAATTACAAACAAACCAAAAGGAAAAATAATACTAAATTCAAATGAAATAACCCAACAGGGTGCCCTGTAATTATTGTAGGTGTTTTTTTAAAATTTTATTGAAAATTGCATGTAAGTGGTTGACTAGGAGTGGGACGTATTTTTATTTTTCAGATTAATAATCGTAAGCTAGCCGAATGAAAAAATTCTCTTTTTCAAAAAGTTCATATTATTTAACATTTCTCAGATTTGATCATACGTTACGTACAACGTTTTTTCAACCCTAGACCTCTATCCGCTACAGGCTTTAAATATGAATCACAAAAACCTAATAAACATAAACAAAAATCACCCTGGAAGTGCTCACTCCTGAGCTTTGTAGTGAACTTTCGTAATAAACCATTATACGAGCGAAGCCCTCTGCTACGTGGTTTTGTCTCCCCGAGAGGTGGTAAGGTTTCACAATTTTGGAATGTTTATTGTTTAGTAGTTTCATATTATACATAGAGTTCGCTCTGGAAGCGTTTTACCAATTTTCCAGGAAATTTGTCAGATAGGTGTTCTCGCACGATTAGAGCGTCGTGCGCACCATCTCGTTGAAACCAACAGTTCCCAACTTTTTTTTTTTTTTTGTGTGTACATCGTTGTATTGTTAATAAAAAATGCTACAATACAGTGTATACTTTTTTTTCGGACCATATAAAAAAATCGTAATCGAAATTTTCTGGTTTTCTTTAAAGCATGATAATAACCGTTTAATTGGGCAATTTTTCCCTAACTTGACCATCGTCGCATCTTCTATAGTTTCGGTGATCCACATGGTAGACACCCTTAGCTTGGACACGGTGCACATAGCAAATTTTAATAATATTTAACATTTTTTGCTGTCCGTTCACAAGTAGGTATTGCGTTGCAGTTGCATTCGTCATTTTCTTGAAGAAAATTCCCCACATACCTCCCAAATTTTGTTGAAATCAGTTGTAGAGTGCGCCATCTTGGACTAGGAATTTTGTAAAATAAGAAACGAAATACTTACTGAAACACCTAGGTAAAGTCGCTATAGTTTATTCTTTTGTTTTGACATCACCAATGGATATATTTCTTGCAGACGTCTCAATCGCCCTTTGTGAGTACCCTCTTCATCCGTTCAATCCGTTCTTGAGGTATAAGGGAATATACCCGATCACGATAAGAGGTCGAGTAGGAGGGCTATGGTTGGTAGAAATTAATTGCTTTCGTTGAGACCTTTCATTAGAGTACCATGAAGGAATGAAGGATAAAACTAGCCCCCCCCCTCCACCCCGTAGTTTGATAAGAGGACAGAAAGAAGGGCAGTAGTTGGTAGAACCCCCCCCCCTCAAGCCCCCTCGCTCACTGATCTCGAAAAAGAGTCGCACGGGAAAGTACTCGTTTGTACAAACCAATTTATTTCGACGAGACCTTTCGGTAGAACATGCGCCCCTCCCCCCCCCCCCAATTTGATAAAGTTTAACTTGGCACCACTAAAGGCATGGGTATGCAAATCTGAGATCAATTGGTTGTCGTATGTAAAAGTTATGCACGTTTTACTTTCAAAAACAGCATCTCAGGAAAATAATTCGTGGGGGGGGGGGGGCTCTTTTAGACAGCGAAATTTGATGGCCATTCGGTACACCTTCAAGGTATAGCTAGAGGCTACCTGCTGCAAAACATTCCAGGACTCTAGGACCATTCCCCTAGAAGTAGTTCAAAACGGCAGACATTCTTAAAAAATGCGCTAATTACCAAGCATTAGGTAATTTACGAAATTATTACGGATTGTTAGTACAAGACAATTTTAGAGGTTTGCTTTAAAACTATTAGACGACAAATCCTTAAAAAACATCACCACTCATGACAGGAAAGGGCGAGGGAAGGAAGAATCAATCTTATTTGCTAAATCTTTAACCGCTTACCATTATAGTGTGCGTGGGAAACGCAGCTCGAACTTTCCTCACAAACTCCACAAATCCTTGTGAATACCCATTTGCGACATCCAAGCAAATAAATGCGATCCCGGGAACCGCATTCAGAATTTGAGAGAGCCTATCGTAGTCGCTGTTACTCATACCGGCACTTACGGCGATGTTTGATAAACAATCGGGATTTTCCTCCGCAAATTTCTTCCATTCTTCGACACCGTAATATTTGTGCAGTGTTGTAAATAGACCGTGCTATAAAAAAAACCAAAGTAATTATAGTTTTATTTCCATTTATTGACATCATAATTTACAGTATGTTCCAACCATGGTGTATAGTTTTTATTATAGACCATGGTTCCCACTAAAGCAGGCACTAATGCTAACTTTCTTATTATTGGACCTGGATGCGGCTATAAAAAGTTTACGGATTTGGTTGAAATACTTTTATTTCTGGTGCAGACCAACTTAAACAGTAACGAACAAATTAAATAAATTCGATAATGACCTCAATTTTTATGGGGGTATATTTTGATGCGACTTAACCCTCGCCCCAATCAGGTTTTGCCTGGTCAAGCCTATTTAAAATTAAAATTTAATCGCAATTTGTCAGTTTAACCCACTTATTCGTAGCTTCAAATACAAAGCAAAATTTCCCAATGCGGGCAATGCTTACAAAAAAACTTACTTATTTTTATTTAAGTTTTAAGTACTTCATTAACTAGGAAATTTTGCAGTATATATGAAATAGTCAACAGATCTGACACAGCTTCTGAAGCCTTAGAGACTAACAATTCCTAAATGATCAAAATGGATGTGGGATAGATTATTGCTGTTCGACGGCAAATTTTTATAACCTACTCAATCCGTTCGTAAGTACCTACATTTAATGTGAACAATAATTTTTATTACTTTGAACATTAATATTGCTTATTCGTAATTGTATTCTCACTGCTACTTTTTGTTGAATCGCCAATTATACAAACTACCTATTACTATATGTTAATTACCTGTGGCTGAGAATATGCGATTGTGAAGGTTGACCTTATATAATTTTCACTTGGACACTTATGCGTTTTGCATTAAACATTTTATATACCTATATACATGGTGGCTTAAAAGTATGACGTCGGCAATAATTTTTGTTAAAGGAACACCGTGTATATTGGGCAATTCCACGACTCGGTCTGAATTCTTTGCGTATAACATTAACATACCATACGCCTAAAGTCGACGGTTTTATAAATAAGTATAAGACGTAGACTAATGCAACATAGGTAACATTTATCCGTGCGCAGGTGAAAATGTGCAATTGGAAATAATTTTATCGAAGTAAAAGTGTGTTCATCTAGTATGTTTAGTAGTCTATTGCGTCATATACTTATATTTGAAACCTTTACAACGGAGATAAGAAAATCGCGCAAACTAAAGACTAACATCAAATATTTACCTTGGATAAAGCTTTCGCTATCTCGAAGGTGCCCACTGTATCCATATTAGACGCCATGATTGGTATTCCATGGTAGGTTTGTTTCGAATTTCTAAAGGTAATTTTTCTATATAAGTCCACCTGAAACAAATACCTGTATTAGTGAGGGGCGCCAAGTACTTTCGAGGGTAGAGGAGAGCTTACATTGACCATTAGATAAATAAATACCCTAGGAGCAAAGTAAGAAGCAGAATGTTTATAATTTGTTACAGTCAGAGACCCCAGAGATCAAATTTGGCCCATTTTCAAATTTTTACACAGTTGGCATTGGTGTTTGTTTAGATTACTTACCACCTTCCTTCGTGCTGCGTGCACTAATATTTATTCGTTTATAGTAGGTATACCTTTTAGCATTGCTTATTTACCTTATACATTGTAGTGGACGATAGATTTATATATCTATTTGCAATTAATCGGCTCACGTAAATTAAAATAAATGTTTAAAAATTTGTTGTGCACAACTCTGTATGCAAAAGTTATTGATGTTTCGCCACTTGGTAAATAATTAATGGCGAGGGAAGCTCTTTATACATTTAAAGCCCGCTACAAGAATTCGGGACTCCATTTAAAGCTAAATATGTCTCGTCCAGACGTTCCACTCGTGCTTTGTAAGTACCCCCTCCCGACACTCCGTTTACAACGTATGAGGAATTGTGACCTATCTCGGTAAGGGGTCACAAATAAACAATATAAGTTCATGGATGCGCAATAATTTTATTGTGCCTTTTATTCTGCGGTCTATTTTTCGATGGCAGCATAGTATAACTTTTCAAGGTCATTATTTTAAGGGTATGCAAAAGTTATTGGTTCTCCCTCTCTCCAAGAGAAGTAGATCATGATCTCGCTCGGTTGTCCGCTCCGGAAAATGGAGGCAATATTGAATCAAAACATTGATCGAAATTACCTCCATTTTCCAGAGCGGACGACCGAACGAGATTTTCCGAAATCACCCCATAGCACACTAGAGGGGGAAATGCTTAGGAGTGAATCACCGAACGGACTTCTGTTTCACCTTGATTTACCTTTCAAGGTCACCGCCAAAAGCAAAATTAATGAAATCTGAACTAAACGCGTTACTCACAGGACTCACTGGTGCCGTCAATTTTTGCACGCATTTTGAAATGGCAGGTCCGCATTCCGGAACCACTCGCCCAAAATCGGAAAAAATTAAACAAAAAATCGAATCGTATAAAATCCATTAAGGCGCTCCCGCTGCTAGGTATCGCTAAATTCAGTAAATAAATTAAACAAATATAGCAAAAACGAGCTCCTGGGTATGGCTATAGCATGTGCAAAACCAAATAGTTTTGCTTTTATTTAAAGTGTATATGTATGAAATTTCATTTAACTGCTTCCATAAATAAGAAAGTTGGCGTTGCACATCCTACACAAAACCAAATTTGGAAAATGGCGCTACATTTGCTTTTATTCCAAGCGGCTATGTATCAAATTTCATTTGAATGCCTCCATAAATAAGAAAGTTTGCAATTCGGTCAGTATATGGTCGAGATGCGCAAAGGGCACTGTGAATGCTGATCGATTAGGCTCAATTTTTGGAATTGCGTTTTATACGGCTAAAGCTATGCGGATATCACCTGCAAAATTTCATCGTAATCGGTCCATTCGTTTATGAGTTATCGTGCAAACGGACGGACGGACAGACACCGAAAAATTATAAACTCGCTAGGAGCTCGTTAATAATCAGGAATTACACTTGGTGCTAAGAATGAACGTTATGGTTGTCCAAATTCACATTTAGGTTGCCTTTTTGCCAATTTGTGTGGGTGAATTCCTAATGCTAATTTGTACAACAGAGGCAAACACTTGTTTATAAAGGTAAGACGGTGTAACATATGAGTATGTAAAAAAACCAGGCGACTAGACCGATTTGGACCGACGTAGGGGAAAAAGGAAAACGTGTTAGGGAGGTTTGTCAACAAAATTTGGTCATGCGTTTCTTATTATGCTTCACTCTGCATAAGAAGGTAGGTAATTTGATTAAGTTTAATGTCGAGTATCGTATTTGCTTCAGCAGTACTGCGAGGCTCCACTTTTTGTACTGGATGGGTTGGTTCCTCTTATTCACAAATTTACGTCGCTATGAGAAATACGTCAAAAGGTACAGACACTGAATATGGCGATGGAAGGTGAATCTTTGGTGCAAGAGAGTAGCTGATATCCGGATAGGCGGATACTAAATAATTTTCACCGGTTTTTGCAAAACTAGGCTAGGTTTTGTCAGAGGATTGAATAAGCTTTCAAATTACGTATCACACGGCTTCATGCGTCATTAACATTCTTAAAGGGTCACCCACCCCACGTAAGGGGTTCAAATAATATTTGGTTTTCTTTCAATACAAATTTAAGGTGCTCCACCGTTTTTTTCTGCGAATTGACGTTATAAACTCTAGGTATCTAAGTTTCGACAGAATTCGCAATTTACACCTTGAATAATTCAGAACTGCACACCTGGCAATTTGAATGAAAAGACGAAACATCTGCTGTCTAAAAGTTGTGTCCCGTATCCATTAGGGGTGGGTTTATAACTATCAATTAGTGTGCCATATACGCTGTACTGTTGTGAAATAGGTTCTCTGTAACATGACTTTTCATTTCTTAGGGAATTTACAAAGCAAATAGTATTGCTTTATGAAATTTGTCATTATTAACGAGCTCCTAGCGAGTTTATAATTTTGCGGCGTCTGTCCGTCTGTCCGTCCGTTAACACGATATCTCGATAACGAATGGACCGATTACGATAAAATTTAGTAGATGGATTCTTTATCAAATTTGTAGATCGGAGTTCGTGAATATGAAGGTATTTAAATGAAATTCGATACATAGCCACTTGGAAAAAAAAGCAAATGTAGCGCCATTTTCCAAATTTGGTTTTGTGTAGGACGTGCAGTGCCAATAGAACTTATTTATGGAAGCAATTAAATGAAATTTAATTTAAATAAAAGCGAAACTAACATCAGATTTAAAATTTGGTTTTGCACATGCTTATAGCCACACCCAGGAGCTCGTTTTCTATATTTGTTTAGTTTATTGATTTTAAACAAGCCCTATCATCAGGAAGAAATGATTCGCGAATTACGTAAATCCCGGCATCGCCTTTCGCTATTTGTGCGTAGATAACTTTGTTCAATGTCATTTTCATTGTCCATTGCGTAACTTGGTGCAATCGTTTGAAACTTAAAGAAAAGCCGGAACCGCCTCCATTGACGAAGGTAGGAACGTTTCCATCCACTCCTTCTCGTCAATTTTTGTTTGGAAACAACCGAGGAAACAACAAGGCAGGATAGTCCGTACTCGAATCGTACTACCCAGGGAGATCGGTATTGTTAATTACAGTAAAAAATGTAAACATATTTTTTGTATTTATCTTGTTTAGACATACTTGATAATTAAAAATAAGAAAATTTTAAAATTGCTTACACCTTTTATTTCTTTTTCAATAATCCTAATAATCTAGTTTTCACTTCGTCTTTAAAACAAAATGGACTCGAAATAGCTTGATAAACAAGATGAACAAGATTCTCGACGGTTGCTCTGACGGTAGAGACTTTTAACTTTCACTGAGCAGACAACATTAGTAGTCGTTGGCGAGTTGGTCGTTGAAGCGCTACTTTCATCGTATAGAATTGTATTTATATTTTACTAGCAGACCCGGCGAACTTCGTACCCCCTTTGGGAAATCTCATTTTCTTGGATATACGATTGATTTCGGCGGCCGCGCCGCCTCACCTCGCACTCCATTTCGACAATATGGCGACTGTCCGAAGGTGGACTCCTTTGCACTAAACGAGCCGCATAGATTTTTCCGAGTTTCCATTTTCAAAAGTAGGTCCTTTTGATAGAAGCAAATGAAAAACACATTCAACAATGAAACTATAGCGTTTTGCCAGTCCGTTACATCCGCATGTTTATCCATATAAATAAATGTCCACATTTCGATAGTATACGTCCCCCTTTAACTCAGGAAGAAATAACCTTGTCAAACATTGAGAAGAATAAGAATAATAAGATGTTCATTTATGCACAGTAGAGTAGCTAAATACGTGCATATTGGCCTCTTATTCTTGTTGGTTATCATTTTGGATAAGTAGTAGTAATCAAAAATGAGTTGCTGTCGAGTCGCCTTTGGAAGTTCAAGTTAAATACGATTTCCCATGTAAACAAAAGTTCCAAAGGTGATTCGACAGCAACTCATTTTTAATCGCACAGTAGTAGTGTAAAACCCTTTCATTTACATAGCAGTTTCGTTGTGGACACAATGCCTCATATCATTCATTGGGCCGTTTTGCACTTTCAATGTTGCTCATGAATTCTTCCCTTCGGTCCTCGCTGTGGCATATGTAGCGTACCTATAAGACAGCCACACCGATCCTTGTATTGAAGATGGTTGAATATTATAATTATCAAAGAGTTACGTTATAATTATATTCTTTGTTATTATAAAACAGCCAGGACAAATTATTACATCGTAGCTTTTTTCTGTGGTTTCACTGCTAAGAATTCAAACTCTCCAAAGAACGGACGGATGGAATTCATACACGTATTTGCTGAAAAATGCCCTCAAAAGTTACCCGCATTACTATATGACCTTGGATTCACACTATAATTGACGAGCTAATGTGAAAGTCGCTTGCAGTAATTTAGAAATGCAAGGTTATTTAATTTTAGCCTGTGGACGATTGCACCGTCCTATGAACTTACGTACCTAAATCAATTAAAGTGAATCAGTTATAAAGTTAGCATTCCTTCTCTCGTACTTCTACATTAGACTTTAGACGCAGTATTATATAATTCGGTTTAATTATACAGGGTGGATATTTTGTCTGGATCACTATATCTTCAAAACAACATTCTTTTCAAAGATTTTTATGGTATCCAAAATTATAGCAAGTTTGCTACCAATCTACGTACTTTGTGGTCAGTAGCGTGCTTCCGCAAGTTCAAAGGGGCATACATTTTTTAAATAGCAATCACTATTTTTTATTGCTTATTATTAAAACGTACACTTTTTTGGATAGGGCGCATAAAAAGGGTGCAATATTGCTATTCAAAAATATACCTCCCTGGACCATGTAGATTGTAGAAGTACACTACTGACTACACCTCGAGCTACAAATTAAAAGTACGTAAATTAGTAGCAAACTTTTTATAATTTTGGATACAATAAAAAGCTTCTTTTAAAAAAGTCTTGTTTTGAAAATACATTTAATTTTCGAGAAAATTTCCACCCTGTATAATTTTTTAAAGGGAAATAATACAATAACTCAATAGCACGTATTCAACACCTGAAGATCGATTTTTCCAAAGAAAAAATCTCTTGACCAGCGCCGTGGCACATCCATATTATGTTAAAGCGAGGTAAAGCAGCACAATCGCCGAAACCGAAATGTCGCCTACAATACAAAATGTAATGACAATGCGAGGGGATGCGGTGTATTCGCCAAAGTCGATGCTATACCGCTCTCGTACTAATATGCACCCATTGTACTAAAATAATATGCGACGTAACCATCGAAACTGACCGCGGAGTTACTGTCCACGTATTTTGCGCAAATCGAATGGATTGGAGCAGTCTTAAAATGTGATTTAATGAACTTTAAAAAAGAGCACTTTAAGATATTGGTCCTTTGAACCGAATCAAATTTCTTTTCACTTTTCTCTTTTTGATTTAAACAATCATGATCAATATTTTAATCAAAATCTACCTAAAGCTAAATCAATAAAAAAAGACGCGAAATCACTGTGATAGCTATAAAATAACAAGCGAATTGATGTCCATCAACCTAGCACAGCAAGGTCAGCAGAATACAATCAAACATATTACATAATTAGCTGCTAATTAAGTGCCCTATTCCCGAATTAAATGCTTCTCTTTTTTTAAATTATTACATGTTCTGCCAGGTTCATATGAGCTCAGCAGAACACTACCTTTAAAACCCAAGAAAATGAAAAGTGAACTAAATAATAATTAGGTTTTATCTTAATTATCAAGTATCACATAGCATCCTACGTCCCGTGCCCGTGCTACGCTTGCACTTTTCATAATTCAACGCACAATATAGCAATTTGTTTTCGAAGTACGCCTTTGTAAAATTTGTACGAACAATTTTTGTATTTGTTTTTGTAAACACAGTGCCTGTCTGCTTAAATCATGTAAATAGTAGAAGTAAAATTTAAAAAAAAGGAAGAACACAGAATTTAAAAACAGGCCACTTACTTAGCACCTAATCAGCACCTAATTATTAGTTAGTTCACTTTTCATTTTCTTGGGTTTTGAAGTTAGTGCTCTGCTGAGTTCATATGAACCTGGCAAAACATGTAATAATTTTTTAAAAAAAGGAGCATTTAATTCGGGAATAGGGCACTTAATTAGCACCTAATTATGCAATATGTTTGATTGTGTTCTGCTGACCTTGCTCTGCTAGGTTCATGGACATAGAGAATTGTGTTGAAAACAGTTTCACAAACTATTAGAGTCTCGAATAAAAAGCTGCACCTACTTGATATCGATTAAGATTATAAATAAATTGCTGCGAACAGAGAAATGTACCTTTCTAATGAACGATGTCGTGCTCACGTTTTTATTTCTTTATTGAAATTGCGAATGATGTAGCCTTTTGATTAGTTACCTGCATCACCATGACGTGACCCAGTGCCAAGTAGGTACAGGTACTCGTACAGTACGGAGGTTAGCCAAAACTCCGATTGGTATATTGGATATTGATTTCTAAGCATCCTGCGTTATTCGAAGCGTCACAGCTCCTACAAGGCCAGCACAATATATTTTTTAGTGGTTGTATTTTCAATAATAAGTCTGTCACTTGGCGAGAATTGTTGATTTTTACAATTAAATTGGAATTATCACAAGCTTCGCCTGGTGGTTTTAACGTTACATTAACCTCATTATGAACTTGTATAATTATAATACCCTCGATAATAACTATACAGGGTGGTAATACTAAGTCGTTCCACCAGAAAACGGCAGTAGAACCCTTAGTTCCAATTTTTGATTTGGTGCCCCGGTTAGAAGTTATTGGTGACATTTTTTGATAACCACCTTATCGATTTTTGAAAGCCACACATTTATAAAATCCCTACACATCTACTACAAAATTTTTCCTAAATATTTTTTTGAATCTATCCTGCGAAGGGGGGCCATTTTGGAAATCGAAATTTTAAAAAAATTGAAAAAATGTTTAGGACGTTTTTATAAATGTTTTGCTTTCAAAAATCGATAAGGTGGTTATCAAAAAAAAGTATTTTTTTAAGTTTAGTCTCGAACTAGGTCTCGAGTTTAGTCTTGGTTTTGATCGATCGCTAATTGAAAAAATAAAAAATATGTTTTAGAGAGCTGAAAGATAGTTTTGTTTTGTTTTTTTTTCAATAGTCCTTAAAATAAGGGAGTTACATATAACGGTATTTCGAAAAATAAAATTATGCCAATAACTTCGAACCGGGGCACCTCGGGGGTACCAAATCAAAAATTGGAACTAACAAAAGTGGTTTGTTTTAATGAGCTCTACTGCCGTTTTCGGGTGTAACGACTTAGTATTAACACCCTGTATATATAATCAATCAAAGCAATTCACATGCATATTTATTAGATTTCAATCGAACCAGAGCATTATGTTTTGAATCTCAGATTTTAAAAGGGGAGAAGGGGCCAAACTTTCGGAAAGTAAAGGGTTTGAAATTTTTTAGCGCATTTTCCAACGAAGTTGGGTGGGCTATTGCACACTTTCTGTCCGTCTGACCGTCAGAGGTCTTGACTACAATAGTTTTCAAGTTTTTTTGAATTCGGTAGCTTGTAACTCGTGAGCAAAGAAAAATCTTGACGATTAATGTGCGCATGCGCAGGCTGCGCAATATCAACTTTCTCATTTATTAATATATTTTGTTGATATTGTAACAACAGATACTTCTAGGAAAGGCAATCGTACCGCATATACGAAAAATCAGATGTGCGCATGGGCAGACTGCGCACTACTTACCTTCTTATTTATGGAGACATTTCTTTGACATTTTAACCATAGATCGTAAAGAAAAACAAAGCTCGCATGGCTATGGCATTTTGGAAAATGCACTAATCAATCACCTCAGGGCGAAAACCTTTATCAATGTAACTAAGCCGTGACATTCGCTAAAGATCACCGAAAGACAAAGGGGACCGTTAGATATTCTGGGAAAGAAAACATCTGACGGTCGACAAACCCCGCCCGCGCCCTTCCGTTCGGTGCCAATCAAAGCGCACAGCGCACCTTGCGATATTTGAAAAATCTCGGAAAGTGAAAAACTATGCAGAACTTCCGCACTGGCAGAAACGGAAGCAGACATCTGTTACCATTGTGTCACTGAACATCAGTTTTATTTGAAAAATGTAGGTTTAGTTTTCCGTTGTTTTTCAATTATTCATAAAGCGGCCTTAACTATGCGTTTCAGAATAACAAAAAAATCATAAAATCATCCACGCCTACTAACGCCATTAAGGTGTGACAAATTTTCGATTAATTTGCAGTCCTACTTTGGCGCCGGCAGATAATCTCCAATTATTTTTCTGCACTATGGCATAGTAATATTAGAAATGATAAGCTAGTGTTCATGTCCTTGCGATATGAGGCATTAGCATTGAATCTGAAGGCTACAGTATTACGTTACATGAAGGCAAACCAATTAAAATGCTGCCACGGGAAATAAATTTGTTTGCGTGATTTTGGCGGGACCCAATCAACTGTTCAGACTGGCATGTATAGAAGTGCGCACGTTGTTCTCATGCTTTTCAATAGCCGTGAAACACGGAAAAAATCAGGGGCAGACAGGATAATTAGCTCATTGTATTGGGTTTGTGATAAAAATGTCAGTGTGTAAATAGCGTGAGGGTAGTCGCTACTCGCGCATGTGCCAAAATAAAACGCAGTGGATTCGCAGACTGCCAATTCTGCAAGACTATAATATACATTCAATTGAAAATAATTTTGGTGAATTACAGAAAAGTTGCATCGTAACGTAACTAATTATTATTCAGGGCTCCAATACACGCACACACGTTAATTAATTACAACGATAACTCTCAAAAAAAGGTAATTACTATTTCCTTAACAAAACTAGTAATACAATCGTTAGCTAGCATTTAAAAATAAAAATTCAAAAATAAATTACTCACATCATTTCTACTCATTAACGTAGACCTCTTTGGGCGAAGCATAACATCTTTAAAGTCTAATTTAATTTCGTTAACTATATTTGGCATTGTCTCTTAAATTTATTTAAACGATCTTATACTAATTTACTGTGCGTAAACTAAAATTCGAAAAACCGCGTCCACGTACAGCTACGACTGCGACCCGGCGTTTAACATAATTTTCCGCAGTCTCTGACGTTTAAATGGAGCGCTCGTGAGATATCGATAGCGCACTCGAAAATATTCGGAGATTATCATGAATTTGGTTGCGTTCACCCTCGAAGCATTGGGTTCTCTTTCTAAAGGCGGATTGTATTAAATTAATTAGGATCAATTGGTGAAACAAAAACGTAAATTCTCTCCATTGAACTACCTAATAATGAATATTTGGTAATCGCGTAAGTACTCTGGGTATTTGCCCTAGCTATTGACCCCCATTCACTGTTCTCTTCTGAAAATTTAAATATGAACACAATGCATATATTATGAGTTGAAAATAATGTAGGGAATTTACTTGATCGTTATCGAGACGCCGTAAAATGATAAAGTCAACCGGATAGTCACCGACGATACGGAATGAAAGCGAATGTAACTCATTTTTCGTATAAAATATGATATGCTGATTCGAGATTTTCTAGAAGCTTTTTTTGTTTGCCATATAATCAAATTGAATTGTATAGTTTTATCGTTATCGAGGTAATAAATAATTAAATACGCACTTGTGTTTTAAATGTAATGGTTATCAATTGTGCAGGGTGAGTCAACGATTGCGCGGAGTAACTTAATGCCTTGAAGGTAAGATTTTTCGATAGAGTGCTTTTGTATTATGATATGGTTGAATATTCTCCACATTTTAAAAATATTTGGAATTATACAGGGTGCGCCCACAAAGTAGGGCGCCCAAATGGTACTTTTTTAATAGAACCCCCTGTATTTGAATGCGCATTTTTGAATTCTACGTGTAATTGTACGTCTTTTTATTCTATTGTTAATATCCAAAAAGCTAGTAGTTTTAAAGATAATTCGATTTTTAAGAAAAAAATGGGCATTTGCAAGCGTCAGTAAAATATATTATCAAAATTATTACTTAAATTTTGATTCCACGTTTTATAATTTTTATCCTGGATTAAGTAAAACTCAAATTAATACATCTACTATGAAACATTAAAAATATAGCTTACAGGGTGTTTTCTTTGGTAGGCCCAAAGTCGCAAAACTTTATATTAAAAAACACCCTGTATATTTTTCAGGCATCATTTAGCCCCTCCAACAACCTTCAACTTTTGATAATAATGTCCTATTTACCTATCTCTGATAGTTTTCAAAATATCTTGGTTTTCCTGGGTTTTATATTCTAATCTTAAATAAGTTATATGTAATTTACATAATAGTGAGAAGGCAATTTAATCCTGCAAATTTCATAAATCTGTAACGGATATTATAGCCAGAAGATGACCGTTGGTCGAAACTAGTCGCTGTTTTTACAATTGTTCTATTAAATTAGTATGGACACAGACAACATATACATATATAGTATATGTTGTCTGTGGTATGGTTTTGTGTCTTTAAGATTTAAAACGACTCTTTTATGTGATTCTGCATTAAGGTTAAATCAAATCAATTTCAAAAACAAAGATTGAAACTCACAAAAATATCAAATGCTGCATACAAAACACAAATACGATACGATATAAAGAAATGCAAAGATTACTCGCCATCGCAATTGAAAACAAGATGCCAAACGTAACCAGCGTTTGTGCCTTTCTTTCATAGTCTAAGGTTTGTGCTTTCCAGATTGCGCAGACAGCTTTTCCCCTCCTAAAAATTGCGTGGTTGCAAACTCTCAAAATTGTGTGCATCCTCGTAAGTTGAATATACAGGGTGTTAAGAGCCAATTTTCTATGTATAATTTTAGCTACTTGCTCGTGTCGATGTCTGTATTCCGTTTGTGAAAGTCGTGCACATGCCAATATATTGTGTTGGATTGTTTTTGAAGTTTATGACCGAGGCACGTGGCGCCGTGGTTGCGCTCACCGATGCTATTCTGGAGGTTGTGGGTTCGAATCCCGCTGCCGACTGCTCTGTCTGGGGTTTTGTCAGGGGGTTTTCCTCAGACATACGTAGCTTCGCATAATGCTAGCATTATGTTGAAAACTACGAGGCGAATGCTGGAGCAGTACTCGCCCCCTCAGCACCCTAACTCCGTTGCTTCCGTTCCCATCCCTAACTTTACCTATCCTTACATTCCCGTTCTCTGGCTGAAGAGGCTCTGCAAGCCTGACTCCTGAGTCCTGAGCAGCCCGCCTCCGGCGTCCCTATAGTCAAGGATGTCAAAGGAATGAAACACGACGACCTTTTCCTTTTCCTTTTTTTTTCTGATGTTTATGAATAGAGTCGGCAAGAATCATGTGTTATTGTTCTGATTTGAGTACACAAGGTAGATATCAAAACAGTGCGGAGCATTTGAGAAACTTTAGTTAAAAAAATTGTAAGAAAGGAAATAATGGTACAGTTTGTAACTAAAAATTATATAAATAATTCGACTTACAATAATAATAATAATAATAAACACTTACACTAAACGACACAAAACTTATTACCGACCCAATACAAATTAAAAGAGGAATTTTTCAAGGCGATTCTTTAAGTCCGCTCTGGTTTTGTCTTGCTCCATATTTGTTAAACACTACTAACTTTGGGTACAATATTAAACACAACCACGAAATACATCACAACATTACACACCTGTTTTACATGGACGATCTTAAATTATACTCTTCCACAAGCATAAAACTTAATCACCTTCTACACATTACCGAAACATTCTCACGTGACATACAAATGGACTTTGGAATCGATAAATGTAAAACACAACACATCACAGCTGGTAAAAGACAACTTTTAGATTATGAGCTAGAACAGGGTAATTTAATAAATTCCATGGACGAGAATGAAACTTACAAGTATCTTGGTTTTCAGCAAAACACACACATTAAACATACGGGTATAAAACAAACACTTATTACACAATACCTACAAAGAGTACGCAGTATACTTAAAACAAAATTACACGGTAGAAATACAATCAAGCTATTAACACTTATGCCACACCAGTGCTTACATACTCTTTTGGGATTATACGTTGGACAAATACAAATTTAGAACAAATACAGAGAAACACACGTACACTATTAACAAAACACCATATACATCACCCTCACTCCTCTACTATACGACTTTACCTTCCTCGTTCGGAAGGAGGTAGAGGACTTACAGATATAAAACTCTTGCACCAAACACAAATACACAATTTGCGACAATACTTTTATAATAAAACAGATACTTCAGTCCTACACAAAACAGTAACATATGCAGACAAATCTTACACGCCACTTAACCTACACGAAACTAATATACTCCCACCTCCATCCAAACTTACATACATCACAAATAACATACAGACATGGAACCAAAAGCCGTTGCATGGACGATTTCCACAAGAGGTTAGTCAGGATTGTGTTGATTCTATAGCAATGCACACTTGGTTGTCTGAATGTGATATCTTCCCGGAAACGGAGGGTTTCATGTTAGCAATCCAAGATCAGGTCATTAATACACGCAACTATAAAAAACACATACATAAAGACAAAACAGTGACAAACGATTCTTGTCGACTCTGTTCACAAACATCAGAAACAATCCAACATATAATATCGGCATGCTCACGACTTGCACAAACTGAATACAAACATCGACACGATCAGGTAGCTAAAATCATACATCAAAAATTAGCACTTAAACACAATCTCATAACAGATAAGACACCATATTACAAATACACGCCACAGATCATACTTGAAAACAACACACACAAATTATATTGGGACAGGACACTACTCACAGACAAAACTATCCACAATAATAGACCAGATATTACACTTATTGATAAAACGCAAAAATCCATTTGTATTATAGACATTGCCATACCCAACACTAACAACTTAACTAAAACACATGCAGAAAAACACCGCAAATACACCGATATAGCTATCGAGCTTAAGACGCAATGGAGAATGAAATCTAATGTTATAGTTCCCATTATTCTTAGTGCTACTGGAGTTATACCAAAGACAATACACCACAATTTACAACTATTAGGTTTAGACAAAAACACATACAAACATTTACAAAAAGCAGGCATTATCAACACATGCCATATTGTTCGTAAATTTCTAAACATAACACAAGATACTACATACAGAAATGATCCACAACGTATACATGTAAACAACAGTACTCGCTCACAACACGGTACACAACATACTGTAGTATCTCCACCTCTAACCCAAACAAACACACAAATACAACTTACCGAACAAACAAGTACAACAAATGATACAACATATACTACAATCAGAGATTCACCTCTGAAGCAAACCACATTATCACAACCCATTAGTATTCAACCCAAACGCAAAAGCCTAAACAGCACTTTAGACTCACATGACACACAACATACTGTAATATTTCCAAACTTAACTCAACCAACCACACAAACACAACTTCCTGAACAAACAAACGCAATAAATACAAGTAACGCAACACGCACTACAAAGACGCCCTCACCCACACGGCCTAGCACAGCTAAAAAACACAATACTCTTGCTTCTCAGAAACACACCACGTTATCACAAACACAACCCACTCGTACTCAACCCAAACGCAACAACCTTAACAGCACTACAGGCTCACAAAAGACTGTAATGTCTCCACCAGTAACCCATGCAACAACAGAAATACAACTTCAAGAACAAAGAAACACCATAAATACAAGTAACGCAACATGCACTACAAAGACAGGTCCATACAATAAAGTTACACGCCCTAGCACATTTAAAAAACACAAAACTCCTTCTTCACAGAAACACACCACATTTTCACAACCCACTCGTATTCAACCGCAACGCAAAAACCTTAACAGAACTACAGGCTCACAACATACTAAAATATCTCCACCTAAAACCCAAGCAACTTCACAAATACAACCTCAAGAACAAAGAAACATCATAAATACAAGTAACGCAACATGCACTACAAAGACATATCCACCCAATAAAGTTACACGCCCTAGCACAATTAAAAAACACATAACTCCTTCTTCACCGAAGCACACCACGTTATCACAACCCACTCACTCGTATTCAACCCAAACGCAGAAACCTATACAGCACTACTAGCTCACAAAATACTGTAATATCTCCATCAATAACCCAAGCAACCTCACAAATACAACCTCAAGAACAAAGAAACACCATAAACACAAGTAACGCAACATGTACTACAAAGACAGGTCCATCCAATAAAGTTACACGCCCTAGCACAGTTAAAAAACACAATACTCCTTCTTCTCAGAAACAACCCACTCGTATACAACCGAAACGCAAAAACCTTAACACAGGCTCACAAAATACTGCAATATCTCCACCAAAAACCCAAGCAACCTCACAAATACGACCTCAGGAACAAAGAAACACCATAAATACAATTAAAAAACAAAAAACTCCTTCTTCACAGAAACACACCACGTTATCACAACCCACTCGTATTCAACCCAAACGCAAAGCCAAAGAAACACTTACACAATAAACTCCATTTAATAAAATTACAGGAATTATTATAATGATTTTTTGTTTTTGTTTTGTTTTCCTCTTTCCTGATAGCGTTGGCTATTGTGCCCATCAATAGGTATGTTGGTAAGTACGAATTACATTATCCCTAGATGTCCAATGTACGTGTGTGATTTTTTTTTTTTTTTTTAATGACCCTACATAACTTCACCAGACACAGACACTAATCGTTACTTGATTTTAATCCGTGCGATTAGTTAACCAGGCTAGACCTGAGTTCTCACAAGAAACACCGATAATAATAATAATAACCTTTATAAAAACCTTTGTGCCTGCTTCTCAGCCGCTTGTGGATGGGACCAGCGCAAAGGAAACCTCCAAAAGACGTATGAAATGGGACGAAGGGATGAATCGCTTCATTTTTGGTACGTATCTGGAGATCACGAAGATGGAAACGGACAGGACAGCATACAGAGGTAAACTATATCACGCTTTCATTACACAATACCCACATTTAGCACACTTAACAGAACAACGCATTGCAGACCAACGTAGAGTTATTATTAAAAATACACTCCTTACATTAGACACACAGGAACAAATCAGGCACGAAATTGAAGCACTACTCAACACAAACAACACACTCACCGTACAAGATAATACATCCGCTCTAAACAACTCTGACCCTACATAACTTCACCAGACACAGACACAGACACTGATCGTTACTTGATTTTAATCCGTGCGATTAGTTAACCAGGCTAGACCTGAGTTCTCACAAGAAACACCGACCATAATAATAACCACTTAACCTACACGAAACTAATATACTCCCACCTCAATCCAAACTTACATACATCACAAATAACATACAGACATGGAACCAAAAGCCGTTACATGGACGATTTCCGCAAGAGGTTAGTCAGGATTGTATTGATTCTATAGCAACGCACACTTGGTTGTCTGAATGTGATATCTTCCCGGAGACTGAGGGTTTCATGTTAGCAATACAAGACCAGGTCATTAATACACGCAACTATAAAAAAACACATACATAAAGACAAAACAGTGACAAACGATTCTTGTCGACTCTGTTCACAAACATCAGAAACAATCCAACATATAATATCGGCATGCACACGACTTGCACAAACAGAATACAAACATCGACACGATCAGGTA